AGCTGGGTTTGTTTTCCTGGGATTGATAATGGTGCTTCCACAGAGAGTTTAAAGAGGGAGAGGACCCGAATTTGTGAGGCTCCAGTTTTAGCTGCATCTCATTTTAAAGGCCCCGTGAGGAGCATATGAAGAGCTGGCAGTGGTCAGAGGGTTTGCAGGAGAGAAAGCCTGGGGAAATGTAAGGAACAGCAAATATACAGTGACTGTTCATCTGAATACCCCCCTCAATATCTTCCAATTCATGGCTCCAGCACTCCCCACGCTGGAGGCAGGATTTTTGAAGTTAATAGCCTTGGATGGATTTTTTCTTCCGTGAATTTGTGACACGGGGCGATAAAAATCAGACAAATGAGGAAATCACAGAAATAAGGGCGAGTAGTAGGCTGGGAGAGGGATGGGCAGCAGGAAAAAGTGCTGACTGGTGGAAAGGGGAGCTGGCAACACGCGGGGCTGTGGGGAAGTGCCCCTGAAGTCAACGGCAGAAGGGAGACGTTCGTGTCTGAAAGCAGGAACCGGCGCCAAGTTCAGGGAGGAAGGAGAACAAGCTCAGTGGGACACAGGCTGCCTGTCAGGGGAGTGGCAGGATGACCATGGCCTCATCACAGGAATGGATGGCTCTTCCTTCTCCCACACCTCTGACAGCACTGTCCCTTTTCCCTCAGCAGGGATGGTCCTGCCCCTCGCTGTGCCGGCGGCGGGGTTGGCTCTGCTCACTGACCGAACAGGAGGTGATGCTATTTTTGTCTTGCTTTTGCCAGGCAGTGAGGGCACTGCAGAGGAGCAGCCTATGGAAAATAACTCTGCTCTGTGAGGTGGCCGATTCCCTTGAAACGGGCCGGAAGAGGAGCAAATGGATTGGCAATGACAGGCTTTCATTTCCAAGCAGGGGAGGATTGAGAAGTTAAGGGAGCTAATTACCAGAGTCAGGTGGAACGAGCTGCTAAAGGGCTTTGACGTGGTGGAGGCTTGGTGACAATGATTTCAAATGAAGGATTCGTGGTGGATTTAATATATCCAGGGTAGCAGGAGAGCTGGGATAACTTCACCTGGGAAGGTGCCTGCAGAGGGGGGTTGGTGTTCAGAGGTGGCTTTTGCAAAGCAAACCCAGCAGCTGGACTAGGCTGGGCTGCAGATGGGAAGTCACTGCAGGGACATCCTGCAATTACGTGTGGTTTATTCCTCTTCAAACTGTGTGTGGGTTATACACCTTCAAACTGGGCACGGTTTAAAATCAGCCACGAGCCCGCCACCTGGTAAATCCCTCCTCCCTCTCTGGCTCTCCACAGGGATTTTAAAGCAAGGCTGGCTTTAGGCTGTGGCAGTTCCCCAGGGCTGACAGGGGGAAGCCACCGGGGCTGGTCTGTGCCAGGCTGTGCCCAAAACCGCATTGCAGAGCCGGGTTCAGGCAGCTCCTGTCGTCCTCACCACGTGTGATTTACTGTCCCCCAACGGCCTCCTGCAAGTTTTCCACAGGACTTTCAGGACTGTGCTGGATTCTGGCTGCTCCAGAGAGGGATTTTGCCTGCGTGACCCATTTAGCAGCCTGGCTGGGCACCTCTCCCTGCAAAAGCTGCTGCAGCTCTGCGTGTCCTTTTGAAGCTTTCAGGTGAAAAAGCAGCAGTTCTCTCGCAGCTTCCATGCTGAGGCTTCTCTTTGTTTGCTGTTCTCACGCACCCCGGAGAAACTGTATTTTGGGCTCTACCTGCCAAAAGAGGCGACAGATGTTTGCCAATTCCCGTGTAGCAGAGGCTTCAAAGCCGTGTGCCAGCTGCTCTCCTCCCTCAGCATCCCTGCTGCTCTGTTCCTGCAGAAACTTTCCCCGTGGCCAAAGAACATGTCACTTGGGTTCCTTTTTTAGTGGCTGAGGATATTCCCGACCCGGGGCGTGTGGCTGCCTGGAGACCCTCCCCGTGGTGTCAGCTCTGCCTCTGCTCGCTGAAACCTCCCTGACCGAGGCGTGTGCTTGGATTTTGGCTCCCGCTGACACTTCGGACACTTCATCGGGCTGAGTCACTCTTGGGGGGGAGCCTCTTCTTGCCTCTCCTGCCCAACAATCTCCTCCAGCTCCCCGGGAAAGGCGCCGTGGGAGCGGCGAGCGCGGCTGCGCCGTGCGGAGCGGGATCCTTGAGGAACAGCGGAGCGCTTCGGAAATTAAAAGCCATTTCATTATAGGAAATGAATGTTTAATGAGCGTGGGATGACGTCTAGACAGCCCCTCGGCTCCAGACTCTGGGAGGAGGGCTCAGCTGACGCACCAGCGCCGGCTCAGAGCCCAGGGGGAGGTTTGGCAGAGCTTTCCCGGGCACTGAGGTCCCGGTGTGGGACAGACATCCTGGCACAGCGACGAGCTCCTGCCTCCACGTCTTCTCGCTGCAGATGCCCCTTGTGCCTCTCTGGGCAGAGCCCCAAGGATCTGTGGCCACAGAGGGACGTGCTGGCAGCGGGAGGCTTGGCCGAGTGCCTGGCCCCAGCCTGGAGCACACAGCCACACTCTCCTGCTCCCTGGGGAATGGGAAAGGACATCCCAGCCTTTTCCATGTCATGGGCTCAGGAGTCGTGACACGAAACCTGGGCTGACCTGGGGACAGCCTGGCAGGGTGGGGGTGAGTACTTGTGAGCCTTTGCATCCTGCCCCAAGGAAGATGATTTATGGCTACAGAAATGGGGGTTTAAATGCAGAAATTTGGATGCAGGTCCCCAAAAGATCCCCCTGCCGCGCTGGAAATGCTGATTGTCCTCTGCAGAAGCTCTGTGCTGTCGATGTCAGAGGTCCTGGCTGCCTGGTGGGGAGAGGCAGGAGCACATCAGCTCCTCCAGGAAAGCTCTCCAGCTCCCATCCCAGGCACAGAGGCTGCTGGCTCAGTGTGCTCACCCTCGCTCAGTGCTAGCAACCACAGACATGAATTCTGAGGCCTCTTGGCAGGGGCAAGGAGGTGGAAATAATGCCCTTTGACTTCTTCCCAGGAGCTGACTGCTTGGCTCTGGGGATGGCAGCAGGGAACCAGCCCAAGGTGCTGCCACGCACGGCACAGGAGATGCTGGTAGGACCCCCCTCCCTGTGCACCCACCCTGCTCTGTCCCCCCTTGTAGCACCAGCAGTGCCCCCTGCATGGATTCCCAGCCTGAAGAAGGGCTTTTGCTGCTCCTGGAGCTGGGGGAATGGCTCCCTGGGGCACCTCACTGTCCCTGTAAAGCTGCAGGGATGGGATTGATGCCACAGGATCTGGTGCTGGGCACAGAGCTGTGCACAGGGCTCCCAGGGGAGCTTCTTGGCATTGCCAGGATGCTGAGTTTGGGGAGCTCCTTGGTTCCTGGGCCTACCCTGACCACCCCTAAGAACAACCCCAACTCGCTGGAGGTGTGATGTCCCCAGGAATGGTGGCAGCAACAGCACCTTTGTGCCCAGGGGAGAAAAATCCCACATGTGGACAGGAGTACAGTCTCTCTCCATGGGACATGTCACTCAAACCCTGGGATTTCTGCAGGGTGGACACCTACAAACCACTCTGCCAACAGCCTCTGCCTACAAACCACTCTGCTCAGGGCATGCCACATCCTGGTGTCTCGGGGGTTGGTGGGCCCTGGGGATGCCACCTGAGGCTGATGGGGAGGGCTGGGTATCATCTTCTGAGGGTTTTTATTTTCAGCCTCCTTTGCTTGTCTTTTCCTTCCCTGCTTTGCCAAGGCATTTCCATCCAGGTGTGGGGGGCTGGGAGAGCCACGGGCCAAGGGATTGGGGGTGGACTTTGTGGGACTGGTCTCCTGCTACATTCATCCAATGGACACAGCTGAGAAACCAAAATACAGCATTGTCCAGAAGTGTCATGAGTTTTACCCGGTCTCACACCTCCTAGAGCTGGGTTCCTGTCTGAGTTCTTGCTCCCCAGAAAGCTTGGGTGACATTCCTTTGGGAGCCAAGGGATGTTTCCCTCACAGCCTCTGTGCACTGGGGAGGTCATGGCCCTTCAGCAGGGTCTTGTTGGGCACTGGGAGCAGGTCCTGCAAGACCTGCCTGGCTGCTGGGAAAACATCTGGCTGGATCTTGCCGAGACACACGGGGTGCTGCTGCCATATGGCAGCTGTGAGGCAACAGCTCTGCCCCGAGCTTTGCTAACACACAGAAATCCTGCCTGGGAGCCTGTGCCGAGCTGCTCTGGGCAGGAAGCAGTAACCACAGAGCTATATATACAGCTCCCAGCAGAGCTGCTGTTGCTGCTGCTGCTGCTTTTGATGTGACAAAACCAAGTTGGTGTTTTGCAAAAAAATCCGGCGTGTCGCCTTCTTCCGGAGCTGACACGGAGAGGGCAGAGCTGGGGCTGGCTCTGGGGGGGCTCCACAGGAGAGCTGGGATGGGGAAATGGCTCAAGAGGTCTGGTCCCCTCCAGATCCTCCAGTGGTGTTGGAGGCCACGGGGTCCCCCAGCCGTGGGGAGCAGCCACGTGTTGGAGTGTCAGTGGCTTTGCTCTGCCCCTCGGCTCCTGCCAGGCTTTCACTGAGCCAGTCTGGATGGTGCCACGGCTGAGGATTCCAGGAGAGTCTGGGCTTTCTCTCTGGGTGGAAGTTGAACGCGTGGAGATGGCAAATGTCACCCACAGGGTATGAAGCCAAAGGCCAGTTGTCCCCCAGAGGGACATGTAGTCCCTCATCTCCTGAAACTGGCCCCCAGATCCCACCGTGCCCCTTTGCTGCCTGCACCCTGACCCTGCCAGCCCCCTGCACAGCCAGCTGGGCTCACTGCAGGGCTGGGCTGGGCATGAGGCTGTGACCCCTCTGCCCCTGCTCTTGGTAGGTGACACTCTGAGGTGCTGCAGGACCTGTGGTCTGTGCCCCAGGCAGGTGAAGCCCTGCAGACCTGCAGGACCTGTGGTCCCCTTTCCTGGGCAGGTGAAGCCCTGAGGTGCTGCAGGACCCTTTACTGGGTAGGGGAGGCCCTGAGGACCTGCAGGACCCCTTGCTGGGCAGGTGGAGCCCCGCTGTGCCTCTCCTGTGCTGTTTTGCAGAGCGGGGCTGACTACGGCTTCCTCGTGAGCCAGAACACGAAGCTCCTGAGTGCCCTGGAGGATCTGCAGCACCGCTGCTCCAGCCTGGCCGAGGAGAACAGCCTGCTGGTGAGCACAGGGCACATCCTGCACCCTGGCTGGGTGCTGACACGGGATGCTCCACAGGGAGGGGGAGTCCTGGGCAGGGCGAGCTGCTGTCTGCTGCCAGTTCCAAGAGGTGCCACGCACGGGATCATCTGGGCAGGGCCAGAGGGGACAGAGGGTCTGGATGCTCTTGGTGCCATCATGCTGCACCCATCAGCTCGAGCTGGACCTCTTCCTCGAGCTGCAGAGCAGAGCCAGGCAGGGGAGGGGAAGTCGCCCTTATTTCCTCTTTAAATATATTTGATTCTATGAAAAGCAGAAACACTGATTCACTCGGCCTGGTCTCAGGGTGACAGTGCAGCACTGCCCCCTGCTCCCACTGAAGCTCAGCACCCTGATCCTCCCCAGCTGCACCCCAGCACCCAACACCAAGCCAGGCTGCCACAGCCTGGGCCTTCTGCCCTGCTCCCCCATCCCTGGCTCTCCAGGCTCATCAGGAAGTACAAAGAGGGGATATTCCCCTCCTGAATCCTCCCTGGAGAGCATCACCCCTTGCCCAGCCCCGCCGTGTGGGGATGCAGCCACCCCAGGTCCCTGCAGATTTGGCTGCTCAGCATTTCAGATTTCCATCACCACATTCACAATGCACATTGCAGATAAGCTTCTTACACCAAAAGCATAAATTCAGCGTGGCCTGCACCCCGGGGTTACCCCTTATCAGTGCTCTCGGTTGCAGCGAAGCACGAGCGTGTGAGCTCCCGTCAGATTGGGCTCTCAAAAACCAGCCCCAGCCTTACAGCTGAGCCACCCTTGGTGGGGTCTCACAGGGGTAGGGAGGGAAATAACCGTGAGCCTCAGCTGACCTGACATTTCTGCTGATGTGAAAAGACAGCACAACACATCTGGGTTTGACCTTGGGAGAAGGAGCCGTCGGCGAGGGGCGGCTCATTGGAATGGACAGATAACAAATAAAAGGGGATTAAGAGCGAACAGAATCAATAGGGAGAAGAAGGAAATTTGCTTTGCAAATATCATAAAGTCCTTTGTCACTTCCTCCCGCTTGTGCTTTGGTGTCAGGAGAGAAAAGACAATGGATAAGCTTGTCCTGGAGGTGCAGTACAAATCCACAGGGATGTGCTGAGTCCTGTAACCCCTGGGAAATAAACTGGGAAGACTTTGGAGGAGAAAGCCCAAAGGGTGGGTGGCCAGGATACACTGATGCTGGAGACATGCTGAGTCCTAGCAGAGCCTGCAACGAGTGTGTTGTGAATGGAGAGGGACCACATGGGATGGTCTGGGGATCTCACAAGGAGCAAGAGGTCACATTAACAAAAATAGAGGCAACAGCAACAACAGAGATTGGTATTCGATGGTTTGGGTAGTTCTAGAACAGGTCAGGCAGGACCAGGGACATTGGTTCCTGAGCAGGGGCTTCACCTCCAGCTTCTCTTTCTGTTCTGCAGCGCAGGAGCTGCTTTCCCCAGACGGAGGAGAAGGTGAAGCACCTGAAGAGGAAGAACGCGGAGCTGGCGGTGATCGCCAAGCGCCTGGAGGAGAGAGCCCGGAAACTGCAGGAGGCAAACCTCAAAGTGGTGGGTGCTGGGACCTGCCCTGGCTGGGGAGCTGAGCTGGGGCAGCACCTCGTCACCAGGACCTTCTGTTTGCTACTTCCACCGAGCTAGAATGGCCTTTTATTTTCCTTTTTCTTAAACCTCCAGCAAACACGCTTTGCAAGAATGCCCAAGCCCAGCCATCGCCAGCTGCTCTGCTCCTGCTCAGGGAGCTGGTTTGAGGAATTTCCTCCTGCTTGGTTTCCTCCCAAAAGGTGATAGTTTAAGTTAATGAATTCGGCTTTCTCTGAAGTCATGAAAATAATTCATCTGACTTCACCAGAAAGAAACAGGAAGGATTTGAATAAGAAAAGGAGTGCGGTGAAGCAAAACAGGAAGGGGTGAGAGACAGCTCTGCCTCATCCACACCTCGCTCACAGGGCTGCACAAGCCACAGGGGTTTTGCTTTCTCCAACCCAACAGCAGCTTGTTGTGAAGCCTGTAGTGTTTGACACTTTGCAGGAGCAGCAGGAGGTGCTTGTAGGGTGTGGGATCTTGGGCACAGGTTCTTAAGGAGGGATTGCAGTGGAGCAAGGCAAAACCTTCCTTCTGTTGGAAGGAAAGCAAGGATAAGAAAGGAAGAAGTGAAAGCTGTGTTGGAGGGAAGGTAGGGGGTTTTCCTGGCTCTCTGTCCCCAGGCACTGTTCTGCCCGTCTGTCACGGGGTTTTGGTACTTGCAGGGCAACAGATGGACTTGTCAGATACTATGTTAAGAGAAACCATTTGATATACACCCAACAGCTCTGCAGCCCCTCCAGCACCTATACAAACACTGGTTTATTTGTTTCCCCAGTGAAACTTTGGGGTGGTGACAGTTTAAGGCCTGTGGGAGCCCTGGGAGAACCTGCTGGGCTCCTGTGCTGGCCAAGGTGTCCAAGTGCTCAGATCGCTGAGGCTGGTGGAGGGTGGGCTGGAGGCAGGAGCAGGGGAGGAGCCCTGAGGAGCTGGGGTTAATCTGGAAGTGGTTGCCTTCAGTGCTGGTGCACAGGTCCCATGGAGCTTCTGCACATGGGTGAGATGCTTGGGAAGAGCTGGGGAGGAGGAGTTTGCACAGAAGATGCAGATCCTGATCAGGCAGGGGAGGGTTTCCCTTCTCCAGATTGTCAGGCTTTGTGCAGATGAAAATAGCTGGGCAGGGAGAGGAAAAGTTGGATAAAGCCAAGGACTGGAGGTGTCCTCACTGCCCAGAGTGTTGGGACGAGCAGGGGGGTGTGAGCTGCCCCTTCATCCCACTCTGTGGTGCTGATACCCAGTGGGAAAGCCCACCCCAGGGAGGAATCCCATCCACAGCTGCCTGCTGTGCCAGGCAGCCTCAGCTCCTGCTGGCCAGACAGAGCCTGTCCCTGACTAGCCTGGTCCCCCTGAAGCACTGTCACCTCCACCCCTGCTCTTCCCTTCCTCACAGGGAGCATGTGAACCTGACCTGCTTCTTCTGCTGAACATCAACTCCTTCCCTGGCTGTGCTGGCCCTTGCTGGGCTCTCTCTTGCCTCTCCCTTTCCCTCTGTCTTCCACCCAACCATGCTGAAGCTCTTCCCTGCTGCCTAGAAGCCCACAGATGCTCCATTTCTCTTCCTGGTTTGACCATCTCTGTCCTTTATCCCATGCTCATCTTTCCTGCCATCCTCCCCCTCCCTTCTCTGCTACCTTCTCCCATTTTTCTGCCCTCATCTCCTGTTTTTCTGCTCTCTTCCTCCCTGCCTGCAGCCCCTGTTCTGGCTGTACCCACTGAGCTCACCTGCTGAGCCACCTTCTCCTTCCCACCTCTTCTCTGACCCACTTCTCCATCCAGCCCTTCCTCCTCCACTTTTCCATAGGCCTGTCCTTTGGGGCCAGGCTGTTGGGGTGATGGGGTGGTAGTTAAGAAACACCCAGGGGTGGGGGGCTGGTGGTGACTGAACACCCAGGGGTGGGGGGCTGGTGGTTAAGGATCACCCACACACCTTTCTCCCCACTGCTCCCTGTGTAGGTCACTGCTCCAGTGGCTCTGAAGGGCTCCAGCCTGGAGATGTGTAAGAAAGCCTTTGCCCGCCAGCGTGCCAAGGACCTGACAGAGCAAGCCAGTGCCCTCCTGGCCAAAGATAAGCAGATCGAAGCTCTGCAGCAGGAATGCCGGGAGCTGCAGGCTAAACTCTTGGCAGGGAAGGTGAGACACTTTGTGGGGCATCACTCAGGGGCTGGGACGAGCTGTGCAACAGCAGTGATGGAAACCAGGCTCTGGAAAGTGGTGTGAGGGCAATTAATCCTCAGTGCAGGCTGAAAACAGAAGGGATTTCATGTGTGAGTTGAATGGGGACACTGGGGAGTGTGTGGCAGAGACAATATCTGGACCCCTCTAACAGTGTGTTGGGGGACACCCCAGTTGTCCTTCTGTGAATTCATTTTCAGCAGCAACTAAAATCCCTCCCCTGGAAACCCCTGAGAAGCCACAGAATTTTCACAGGGCTGAGCTTCAACCAAGATGTAGGAACATTTTTGAAGCGTTTCCCCTTTTAAAGTGTTTCTTTGGGAAGCCAACCAGCACGTTCCCAAGAATCAGCCTAAATCCCATGTCTTGAGCTGCAGCTTTCTGAGCACTCACAGCCACCACGAGACTGGTGATAACTCAGTGGATCCTGGGATGACTGTGATCAAGGCCACAAACCACCAGCCAGGGCTGGGTGTTCATGAAACCATCCCCAGTGCTGTGTCTGGTGATCTGCCTTCCCCTCAGCACCAGCACAGGCCGTGCTGACAGAAACGGTGGGATAAAAGGGATAATTCAGCTCATCCTGAGACACAAATTTAAAACTGGTCATGTGTGTGTTGCTCTTCCAAAGCACTTCTCTGTGACAACTCTGAAAGGAGCCTCTGCAGGCAGCTGGGTGAGGTGGTTCCCAATCAAGGTGGTGAAGTTTTGGGCAGATCAGCTACATCTGTTGTTCACATGCTGGACATTTTCAGTGCCAAGTGCCACCCTACATCCCTGCCCCCAGCTGAGCCGAGTGAACACTTGCATTTCTACCTGCCCTACTTACATGATATCTAGGTGACAAATACTTCCTTGCTGAAAGCAGCGTTATTTTTGTCCCCAAGCTCCCCATATGTTCATTTTTAACTACAGGTTTGAAGGTGGATTCTCAGTCTTAACGTGGATCTAGTCAGGATAAGAATAATTGGGGTTTTTTTGGTGTTTGTACAGAGCTGCTCCATTGATCCTTCTTGGCATTTAACGACAGGATAAACTTATCCAGGTCTGACTGTGCCCTACGGTGTCAGCAAGGAGAAACTTCTTTCCCATCCCTTGAGTTCTCACTGCAGGCCCCCACAGGAAGGGGAACAGATCCTTTCCAAAGCTCTCTGATTTTCCAAGCAGAGCGTGCTGGGCAACCTGACCCTTCCAGGGACAGGGGAGTGACAAATTGTTGAGGAATGGGACAAAAGCGGGCGAGCAGGATTCATTACTGGCCAAGGAAATACACGTGGGTGCCACCCTCAGGGGTGACAAATTCAGCCACTGCCTTACTAGGGCATGGGTGACCTGGTGACCACCCTGTCCCCAAAGGTGAGACCATCCCTGTGACTTGCCATGGCACCAGGGACCACTGATGCACAAGCAGGGAATCAATGGAGAAAAGAGCCAGAGAGGAGATCATTCTTTCTGATCTTGTTTTCCCCATTTTTCTCTCAAGCAAGCTCATTAAATTTTAATTTTCAGCTAGTTAAAATTCCAAATTCCCCTAATCTGTCTGCAGCATGCAAAATGCATTAGGCCAATGAAGGGGGTTTTATGCAGAGATATGATGGGCACGCTCAGAGTTTGTAACCAAATCAGTTTTAATCTCGGGTACTTAAATCAGCACTCATTTTTCAGTAGCTGTGGAATAGATCCACTCAGTTTCCTGCAGCAGCAGGGCACACACTGGCCTTGTTTTGGCAAAGCCAGGGCTCTCAGGATGGGATAAAATGATTTCCTGAGATCACACTCCGGTGAGCGGCTTCCAACCAAACCCCAGCTCTGGGTAAATCCAGGCTGCAATTTCTTGCAGGATGGATTCTTGGAAGCATGGGGTGGAGAGGTGGGGGGAGCAGTGAGGCAGCTGCAGGGGATGGGTATAATAGAAACTGAGGGGAGGGCTGAGCTCTTTTCCTCCTCCCTTGTTCCCCCAGGCTCCGGAGGCTCAGTTGGGAATAGCTGCCTATTTTTGGTGGGGGAAGGGAGATTTTATACACAGCCACAGCCAGTTTTGCTTAAAGAACTACTACCCTGAGAGCCTGAACAGGGGGCTGGCACAGAGGAGGCCCAGCTGCTCACTTCTTGCATCTATAATCAGTTCCCATTAACGGTGCCTCAGTTTCCCCCTTTGCAGCATGAGAGTAACCATGGTTTTCTCCTCAGCTTGTATATATAAAGCACATGCTATTTTTAGGGGGAATAAGAAGTGAACGGGGAAACAGATTAAAATTGTCCTGGATACCAATTCTGCTTTGAATTCACTGGCTTAGGAGCTTTCCAGGGGACTGAACAATGTCTCCTCCAGCAGCAGATTTGTAAAGACAGGCTTTCATAACCCACTTTTGTATGTGTGGACATGCAGGCACGTGTTTCTCTTCAGCTGCCTGAAATCTTGAAAACCTTTGAAGAATGAAAACAAGCTGGTGACATATTCTCACTAGTTTTGTGAGAGTCAGATTGGGCTGGTTTCCTTCAAAGGCTGCCGGGTTTGGGTCGGGATGTGAGTGACCCCTGGTGCCAAAGATAGGGGCCTATCACTGTCTCTGACAAGGAGAGAAATCAAATACTTTGAAAACCAAACATTATCCTGAGGGAGAACTGACCGAATCCCAGATGTTCTTCGTTCTTGCAGCCTCTCAAAGCCCTCACCACCGACTGCTGGGGCTGCAACACTTGCCAGCACCCACACCAAGAAGGGGAAGCAGCTCTGCTTTGGCTGGGACGTGATGTGACATTATCCTGCCACGCTCCCTGCTGGCACGTGCTGAGATGGCACATCCTTGGCAAAGCCCTTCGTGCTGGGAGAGCTGCAGGAGCATTACAGGACCATTACAGGCTGGGGTTTATCTTCAGGAAGAAAAATGTATTTGCATAAAGAATTCAAAGTGAGTTTTGAGGCTTTGGAGACCCGGGAATCAGCAATCTGCGTGCGCTACATCAGCTGGGTTCCACCAGCCTCTCCTCCTTTGGAGAGCGTGTGTTAAACATGACCTATCCCAGCTTTTGGAGCCTGTCAGGGACACGGCACTGTGTTTGTTTTCCCGTAGGACGACCCTCGCTGCCTCAACGTCATCGAGTTCGACCGCCTGCTGCGGGAGTCCCAGCGGGAGGTGCTGAGGCTGCAGAGGCAGATCGCCCTCAAGAATTTCAAGGAGTGTCTGCGTCCCCCCAAAATGAGCCCGGGTAGTGCCGTGCCGAGCGCTGCCCCGCGCCTGGGACCGAACACCGGCAGCAAAGGTTCACCTCTGCCAAAAGAGGGCTCCATGGGAGACCCGGCGCTGGGAGGGAGAGCTCGCAGGGAGGTGAGACAAGTGGGTCAGCCATCGGCAAGTTTTGCTGTTTAATTGCTCACATCATTGCTGTTCTCAGGGGGTTTCACTTGGAGGAGGTGAGGGTTGTGGTTTGGGTCCACACACATCGGTGCTGTGCTGGTTTCCAAAGGGACCAGTTCCAGGTCTCACGGGGTGAGGAGGGACATGGTGCTTCTGGCAGCACGTGGTGGGGACACTGAGCCATGCCAGGGGCTCAGCCCTGCTCCTTTGCCCTGGCATGGGGCTCCCGTTCTGCGTTTTCCAGCCTAGGAAACCGGGCAATGCTTCCCTTTCATTGTATCATCGAATGGTTTGGGTCAGAAGGGACCTTAAAGCTCATCTCATTTCACCTCTGCCGTGGGCAGGGACACTTTCCAATAGACCAGGTGGTGGAAGACTGTGTCCAACCTGGCCGGGAACAATTCCAGGGATGGGGCAGCCTCTCTGGGCAACCTGTGCCAGGGCCTCAGCATCATCACGGGGAAGGATTCCTTCCTATTATCTAACCTCAACCCACCCTCTGTCAGTTTGAAGCCATTCCCCCTTGTCCTGTCCCTCCATGCCTTGTCCCCAGTCCCTCTCCAGCTCTCCTGGATCCCCTTTAAGCCCTGCAAGGGGCTCTCAGGTCTCCCTGGATCCTTCTCTTCTCAAGGTGAACCCCCCCAGCTCTCCCAGCCTGGCTCCAGAGCAGAGGGGCTCCAGCCCTGGGAGCATCTCCGGGGCCTCCTCTGGACTCGCTCCAGCAGCTCCAGAGCTGGAGGCAGCTCCGGGGGGGGGGGGGGGGGGATCGCAGCAGAGCGGGGCAGAAAGGGCTGAACCCCCACGGCAGCACAAGGAGGGGGGTTCGGCCCAGGCCCCGCAGGTCCCGATGCCACCGCGGCCCTGCCCGGCCCTGCCCGGCCCGTCCCCTCCGCCCGCAGTGGTTCAGCCCCGCAGATCCGGGGCCGCCTCAGGGCGCCGCCTCCGCCGCGGCCGCGCAGCCGCCAGGTAAGGCCGGGCCGGGGGCGCCGAGCCGGGCCGGGCCGGGCCGGGCTGGGCTAGGGGTGTGTGTGGGGCCGGGGCCGGGGCCGCCCCGCGGGGGCTCCGCCGGGGCCGGGCCGGGCGGGCTCGGGGCCTGTCCGGGCAGTGGCGGTGCCGCCTCGGGGCCGAACCCCCCCCCCCCCCCACCCCGGGCAGGGCCCGCCGGGGCCTCTGCGGGGCCGGGCCGCGGGTCCCGCTGTGCCCCCGCAGCCCCCGGGGCGGCTCCTCGGGGTTTCGCTCCCGCGGGTTCCCCCGGTTTCTCCCCCGCAGTTTCCAGTCCCCCCTGCGGGTTCGGGATGTTCCCCCCGAGCTCCACCAGCTGCTCCCGTTTCTTCCCCCCCCCTCACCCCGCCCCAGGCCCTCGGCAGATGTGTCGAATGTATTCATTCCTCGCTCGCCCATTCCGAGTCACCCGTGGATTTATCACCCCCTTCTCCTTCAGCCATTTTTTTTGTTTGTTTGTTTCTTTCTTTCCAGCCTCTCCCCTTATTCAGTGTTAGCATCTTTGTCTCCTTCGTTCGTGCGTTTTCCCCGCCTGTTTTGTGCTGGGGCTGTTTTGGGCTGTCCCGGGTCCTGGCGTTGATTTATACGGTGGCATAATGATGTTTTCTCTCCCTTCCCCAATAGAGCTCTTCTCCTTTTTGTCTGAGCACTGGGGCTTTATTAAACCATCACTTGTCTCTTTAATCTCTCGGTGTCACGAGGGCCTCGTCGCTGTTTGTCTCTGCTGCATCACTGCTTGGAGAGCACAGTTCCTGCTCCCTCCTTTTTTTAGTCCTTTCATTTTTATTAGATAATTTACCCGAGTAAAAAAACCTCCCCCCCTCACCCTGTGGTGTCTCAGTGTCTGCCAAAACCTGTTTAAGCACTGCAGCTGAAGGTGTGAAGGTGTCCTGAGCACCCCAGCAGGTTCCCGCTGGATCTCCTTCAGCCCTTCGCTTGCTGTCACCTTAGAAAAACTCTTCATAGATTTGTGAATGTTTCCCCCCTCCCCACCCCCAATATAAGTTAATTTGAAGTTTTTTCAAGCATCTGCTGTATCTTTGTTGCAATTTCAATCAGGCTGCCCAGAACAGGTGTCAAGTGTACTGGTCTGTCTTTCCACATTTGCCCCCTGGAATATGCTTAAAACTCTGGAATACTCTTAAAACTTGGCAGTTGTCACCTTCCAGTTAATTTGTATTAGGGCAGTGTTGGAGAGGTGACGTTCTGCACGTCTTGATTCAGTTCCTGCTGAAGTGAGAGATTCAGTTCATGCCAGAGGGGTTTTCTTGAACCCTTGGGTGAATATTATCTAATCTTGGTGATTTGTTACTATGTGTTTTTTTGGCTTCTATAGTTGTTCTTATAGACAGTTCAGTTTGAGAGAGATCCTTAGCTCTGTCCCTAAAATCTGTTTAGCAAAAGTAACTTTAAATTGAATGTTTAAAGCATTTATCAAAGCCCTCTTTCTTCTGTGTGTCTCGGGCCTTGCTCTGGTGTCAGGGATTACTCTGGGCAGACAATGTCAAGTCAAATACCAGTTGAGAGGGAAAATTTAGAGGATTAAAGGTTTGCTTGTCTGTAGCCCAGATGAAAAGGCGTTTTCTTAGAAACTTGTGTACAATTGTGTACAGAAAATCGTTTCATTTGGTTTGGTGGTGGCACATCATCCAGGCAACTGCTGCCCTTCCAGTCCTTCTCAGCTCCAGCTGAGGTGGGTCACTGTTTCTTGGTAGTGTTTGCTCTTCCCTGCCTTTAGACTCTGACATCCTCACTGATTCCTGCCCTTTGAGGGCTGTGCTCTCTCCCTTCTGACCATCTTTTTGTTGCTTTGGGAAGTGTGGCTGCTGCCTCTCATGGAATCATTAGATGAGGCACAAATGGGAACTGGGGACTGAGAGCTTCCTGGAGGCCACTGTTGTGTGGAGGTGGCTCAGTCAAGCTGGACTGGTTGGCACTGGGCTCCAGGAGACTCCCAGCACAGGTTTCTGGTGGCACAGAGATCCCTGTCCAGCTTTCCCCGTGCCCAGTGGTGCAGCTCAGGGGTGAGGAGTCTCATGGGGAGTGTTACTCTCACAGGTGGCACTGCCAGGAGTGTTCCCTGCAATCCTGGCTATCCCTGAGCTCTCTGGCATCTTTTCCAGGTGGAATCAGGTGTGCAACCACTGGGACCTGCCTCTGAAGGACATGAAAATTTCCCTCCCAAAAATGCAATAACAGGCCAAGAAAGCAGCAAACAGATCCAGCAGCTGGTGAGTTGTGAACTTGGTTTTGGGGGAGGGAATGCTACACTTCTTTATTTTTGTTGGGTTTTTCGCCCAGGTAGAGATTTTAGGGACTGAGGTCTTTTTAAGGTGCAGCTGCTCTGCAAAAGTGGGAAACTTGGGGAATCAGTGGGAAAACACAGGCCATCTGCAGGGAGAGTGTTGCTGGGTGGCAGCTCCAGGTGCTGGGCTTGCAGCAGAATATGTCACACTAAAATGAGAGGAAAACACGCCAGTAGGTTCTGTGCTGTTTGGTTTAGTCTTACTTGAACTGGGGACAGATGGGGATGAGGAATGTGTCCCTTGGGAATTCTTCCAGCAAATTAGGACAGTTCACAGGGAGGTTTAGCAGCTCTTGTCTATCTGAGCCAAGAGGGGTAGTGAGTAGCTGCAGGTAAAGGTACATAAGGATGTCTGTGCTCTGTTAGGTGTCATTTGGATGAGAATAGGAGCTGAAACAGCACAGCTGATGTTTAGAGCTGAAAATTTTGCACAACTCTGTCTTTTTGTCCCCCACATCCTGTCTCCATACTGCTCTCTGCAAATAGGAACAATCTGTGCAAGTGGAAACAGAACTGTTTCCAGAAGATTAAAGGCTTGAGGAAAGAGTTGTTTCACTTGAAAAGTTTTTTAGTTTTCCTACATTTCCAAAAAAAAAAAAAAATCTCCCTTGGTTTCTACATTGTTTAAGTTTGTCACAAAGAGATTTTTGTGAAAAAACAAAATTAGCTAATGCAGCACTGGGTCTGAGAGGCTGGGCTTGAATTTCCTAGGCATTGTAAGAGTGTGGACTTGCTGATCTACTTCTGCTCATTTCCTGCAGGAATTTGAACTCAAGAAAAAGCGCAAAAAATGTGAAAACCTTGAGCATGAAGTGAGGAAAAAGCATAAAAGATGCAAAGAACTAGTAAGTGTTCTTGTTGCCTGCTGTTGTGAGCGTGATGGGAGAAGAGGAGCTGGGTTGTTGTGTGTGTCTCTCTTGGATTCTCCAGCTCATCTTAATAAGGAATCACCGTCTTTCTGGTTATTTGAACAGTGTTGCAAATCTTGGGCTTGTTTATTTATTTTAGTTACCTGTGGGCTGAGTGCAGCCACATAAATCACTGGATAAAGTTCCATGGCCTTTGCTGCTTTGGGGAGATAATTACCATTTTCACAGGCACTCCAGACAAATGTTGAAAGATTTCTGCGCCTCAAGATTGGTCATTGCACAAACCCACAGCCCTTTTCCTGTGTTTCCTATCTGTTGGCTGAAATCTTGCCTCTGTTTAATTCCAGGGAGGTTTTCCTGGTCTTACCAAAGCTCCTGGATTTCTGCCTTCCGTTGCTGCTTTGCTGAGCAGCACTGGTGGCATTAGGGGCTGACAGTGTGTGGTTTCCACCAGGGATGCTGACCTTCTGAATAGGTGTTTGATGTCCATGGGGTGTTTTAAGGAAGAAGTTGTTCTCTGTGTGTTGGTAGAAAGTTGCTTTTGAGGGTCAAGAAGGGACCAGCTCACCTTGAAGTACCAGCACTCGGCCTGTGTGCACAGGGAATTAGCTCCTGGAACAGCCAGAAAACATTTGATGATATGTAAAACCTTGGAATGGGGAAGTGTGTGTGTGTCATGTGATAATGCAACAATTAAACTCCTTTAGTGCTGTACAGAGATGTTGCAGATGGACTGACCTGGCAAACCCAGAGTCCCCTCTATGTGCCCACGGCCTGTGCTCAGAGGCAGCATTCCCTAATTCAGGGATAGCAGGCTCGTGCTCTTGTCTCCAGCCTGTATCCTGCTTCAAACTCTGGACTTTGCAGTCTAGAGCTCTCTTTAGCATAATTTTCCCAAATACTTTTCCTTCCTCGACTGATACTTGTCAAGAAGACTCTGATCCCGAACCAGCAGTGAAACTTGATTTGCTGTGGGTGGAGATGGAGTCCTAGGCTTGTAAATAATGTGACACTGGGGCTGGGAGGTAGACAAGGAAATCTCTTTCTGATCTGGGGCTTTGAGGTTAAGAGAAGTAGAAACTTGAGAGTTCATGGAGTGGTTTGGGTTGGAAGGGACTTTAAAGGTCATCCAGTTCCAAGCCCATCATCTGGCACAGGGGGCTGTTAGAGCAGTGCCTCCCCCTCCTCAGCAGCATCCTACCAACATCCTGCACCAGGAAACAGCAGCAGTGGAGCTGCTCTGCAGAACAATTTGGGGGAGTTAGTTTGAGGGCCTTGGTGTAGTAATTCCCTCTCTTTCTGGACAGGAGATCCAGCTGCAGGAGGTGCAGAGTGAAAATGCACGACTGGCTGAGGAGAACTTGCAGCTGAATGAGAGGGCTGGATGGGCAGGACAGGTAAAAGCGGTGTCTCGGTCAGGTGGAGCGTTGGCTCCTGCAAAATCTTGCTGAGAAGAACTTGCTGGTGTGCCAGGTTTTCAAGCTGCCAGCTGAGAAATGTTTTTGTGCTGATCTGGGTTTCTGTTCCCAGCTCCTTCTCTGAACAAGTTTAATGACGGGACTTAGAAAGTCACTTGTCACTCCTCTAAGTCAATTTGCTGCCATGCATAAGGTTGATATTAATATGTAATATTAAATAACTGTTTAATAACTGTTGTAAGTGGAAATGTTTGTAATCTGCATTGCTAATAGTCATCAGGCCATAGTGCACCCAGGAACCAAAATATGTGGCTGGAATTCCCTGTAGTAAGGGAAGAAGGTGAAGATGATCTCAGCAGGCTACTGAATTTTCTGTCCTGTTCTTTGTGTTTAATTCTACCATGTAGGATGAAAAATGCTTTTAAACCTTTGTGTTTTTTTTTTAAATCTCTTCATTATGTGGCCTGTTCCTCTCCCAGTTCCTTCCTCCTTGTAAATGGGGAGATGAGTCTAGTGAGAGAAACAGTGTTACACACTGAGGCCTGATAAATGCTTATTTATTAATAATTATTAATTAATAATTAATGAAAACCAGAGGAAGAGGAGGTTCATCATTTTGGTGTCATTGCCAGTAAAAAGGAGGTCTGCAAATCAACCTATTGAGACGCAGAAATAAATTGTCCTCAATCAAATCAAATCAATAAATACAGGGAACACCTCTGGCTGCTTGGGCTAAAACTGCAAATCCTTCTCTCCAGGTGGAATCTGAGAATGCTGACCTGAAACTGCAGGTTGTTTTGGTGACCAAGGAACGGGATTCAGTAATTCAGACGAACCAAGGACTCCAAACCAAGCTGGAGAATCTAGAGCAGGTGCTGAAGGTCAGTGGGATCCTCACAGAGAAGGACTGGCCAGACATTGCTTTTGGATTGGCACGTGTTGCCTCTTTGCCCCTTTTTGGCCATTCCTTTGTCTCTGGGCTTCTGTTGGGAGTTGTGCTTCTGCAGGATCCTAGAGCATGGCTTTCCAAAGCCGGAAGAGGTTTGGAAAGGCTGCTTGAGGGATTTGTGTGGGAAGGGAAATAAGGTGACCATCGCTTTGATCATTTTCTCTGTGCTGCTCTGGCGAGTGGTGAGAGTTCTGTGCTTTCTCCTGTGAGAGTTCTGTACTTTCCTCTGTGCAATGATGACAAGAAGCCCAGGCCATGGTTGGCTCCTGGCTGCTGGTGGCAATCAGGATTTCATTTCAGCAGTGTCCCTGTCTGTGCCTTGTCCTGCAGCACATGAGAAATGTGGCCGAGCGCAGGCAGCAGCTGGAAGTGGAGCACAAGGAAGCCCTGCTAGTCCTGCAGGAGAAGCAGGAGGAGGTCCGGCGGCTGCAGCAGGTGTGTGTGTGGGGGGGAGTGGGAGGTGAACATTTTACCTTCTGAATCCCTGGAAAAGGATGGATATGTTTCCTTGGACGTGCAGTGCGTAGAGAAGGTGTGTGTGAGTTTAAAGGATAAATTAAACCAGAGCAGTGTCTGAGTACTCTGGTACCTGAGCACAGTGAAGGGGTTTGCTCAGGAACATCAGTTCTGACCTCTCCCTGCTGTTTGTCCAAAGCCCAGAGGTGCTTTCAGACTTTAAATCATGGAATCATTAAGGTTGGAGAAGCCCCCTAAGGTCATCAACTCCCAACTATCCCCCCATCACTGCCAAGGCCTCCACTAACCCATGTCCCCAAGTGCCACATCCACACATCTGTTAAACCCCTCCATGGGTGGGGACTCCCCCACTGCCCTGGGCAGCTGTGCCAGGGCCTGACCACCCTTTCCATGAAGAAATTCCTCCTGATGTCCCCCCTGCCCCTCCCCTGGCACAGCTGGAGGCCGTTCCCTCTCCTCCTGTCCCTGTTCCCTGGGAGCAGAGCCCGACCCCCCCCGGCTCCCCCCTCCTGTCAGGGATTGCAGAGCCAGAAGGTCCCCCCTGAGCCTCCTTTTCTCCAGGCTGAGCCCCCCCAGCTCCCTCAGCTGCTCCTCATCAGATTTTTCCTCCAACTTATAAAGGACTGTCAGGTGGGATGACAGAAGTGGTCTCAGGTGGCTTCCTTTCTTATTTCCTACCTTTCTTATTTCTCCTTAGGCACAGGCAGAGGCAAGAAGGGAACATGAAGGAGCAGTACAGCTTCTAGAGGTAAGACAGAAGGAAACACGAGGGACTGGTGGCTGCAGCTTTGATACTTTTTGTTCTTATTACCAGTTTTCTTGATGCCTTTGATGGGTTTTGTTGGTTCTTGAGCAAAATGCTGTAATGTCTTGATCAGAATGTGTTACTGCTGAGAGCGAGTATCAGTGGTGCTGGCAGAGTAATATCTGGGGTCATAGTTTTGAGGGATTAAATCCTGATCTGCTCAGTCCTCACATAGATTTCTTCATTCAGATTATGCTCAAAAAACTCTTTTTAGGCATTAAATAATCACCCTCAGATCTGCCTCCTCCACTCTCCAGGATCATGTCAAGAGGGGAAGAATATTTGTGTCCATAGGGCCTGAAATTTCTGTTATGTGTGTGTGTGCTTCCTGCTTTTCGTTAGGGGAATACAGGAGAAATGCTGGGCACTGCTTTGGGTTTGCTTGGCATTAGCTCAGTGTCAGTCAGGATGGCTTTGGAGGAAACTTTGCCTGTGGATTCCTGGAGCTGCAAAGCCGAAGCACTGAACGCTGGAACCTGATGTGGTGATTTGGTGACCACCAGAGGGTTTGGGTGTGGTGGGAAATGGGGCATCTTGTGCTCTCTCAGAGGTTTTCTGAGCACCAAAACAACCAAGAGGAGTAGAAGGCCTCACTTTCCACCCAGACAGTGGGATCTCCTGCTGCAGTGGTGACTTCAGAGGGGACAGGCTGAACTCCCTGTGCAGCTCTGGGGCTGTTGGCAGCCCAGGGGTGTTGTTTGGGATGGGAGTTGTCCTTGATGGAGGAGATTGCTCAAATAGCTGCAAATAGCATCAGCTTTGGAGGGAACTTGACCTGTGTTTGAGCTGGAGAACCCCAGAGTGCTGGACTCCTGCTAAATGGGGTGGAAATATTTGCAGGCTGGATGAGTATCACGGGGCTGTGACATTTTGTGTTGTCCCCTTGAAAGTTCATCTAGTTCCACCCACCTTCCACTAGACCAGGTTGCTCTAATCCCTGCCAGCCTGGCCTTGAATTTTATAGAGTAGGCCAAAGAAAGAGAAATTGTTATTAAAAGCCGGTTTAATGTGCAGCAACATTTAAATAAATTACTTAAATCATAGTCATCCCAGAACATCCATGTAGGGCAGAATTAGGGATTATGAGGTGCCTGTGCTGTGTTTTCATTTCTTCATGTGTTTGGATTGCTTTTGGATGGGATATTAATGAAGGATGAGCTCAGTCTGTTGAAATTTAGCGGAGTCATTGAACTCAAAGCACACAACAGTTTGGAGGCCCTCAAAAAGAGCCTGGATCTCCTATTTGTGCATTTGGCACTTGGGATTTGGCTTTGGTTTGGTGAGAATGAGGTGGGAGTCTCATTATGGAACAAGGCAGACACTGGATGTGGTGAGAGAACAATCTCATTCAGACTGAGGGCTGGGTTCTGTTTGGAGAGTGTTGGTTTTGGGATAGTGTAACTGCTGGTGTGGTTTGACATCTCTTTTTGCTTTTCTTCTTGCTCCCAGAGTACCTTGGATTGCATGCAGGTACTGCTATAATCCTGTCAAACAGGATATTTTTCCCTCTGTCCTGACTTTGACAGTTGCCTGATAATTCTTGTCTTAGCTGTTCTCTGGAAAAGATTGCAAGAGTGTCACTGCTGAGAGATCAGTGTGATTAAAGGAGCTCCCGCCATGAGTTTGATGGAGCAGCTGCTTTTCTCTTTAAATGCTTTGCTTCCTTGACCAATTAGAATTAGGAGCTTAATTTTTTTTTGGCACTTGCAGATTTTTAGAGTTGCCCAGCTGTGTGCTCCTTCTCCACGTGTCACGTGCATTTAAATATCTTTTGGGAACCACTTGCAGTCCAAGAGTGAAATGTTTCCTTCAGAACCCAAAAGCAAGTGAAGACAGGCCCTGCTGGCTTCCTAACTGGATGGAAGATGGGAAGCAGGGATTGTGGATGATAGTTTTCCCAGAAGAGGCAGGTGATTTGGAAAGAAGGCTTCTGTGGAAGTGGTGGGGTTTGTAGCTGATGGAAAACTGCTTGAAAACACCTTCAGATCTGACAGAGATCCTGTGAGTAACAGGGACATTAAATCCCAGGTAACACTGCCTGTGCAAAGGCACGTGGGAGGAGAAGCAGCCGTGACTAAACATGCCTAGTGATAGCCTTGGAGTTCCCTGTTGGAGCAAGAGATGCAGGGTTGGAGGTAGGGGGACTTAAAAAAAAAAAATCAGCCAAATTCTGGTCAAAAAAAGCAAGTAAAGTGTTGTGAACTTTTGGAGAAGGGCATTTTTTGGGGTGTGCCCACATCCTGTAGAAGTTGCACCCACACTGTGGAATTATGGCTGTTTCTCTAATCCCTTGGGCATCAGCCCTGCCTGGGGCAGGAGTTTGGACTGCACAGCTCTAGAGCTCCCTTTGAGCAAAGTGGGGATTCTCTCATCTCAAAAATACAGAGCAGAAGATACAGAGAAAGGTAACGAGGGACACACGGAGGGAAAACATCATCTGGAGAAGTGGAGTAGAGCAGCCAAGAGGGGGAGAGTCTCAGAGGACAGAGCTGAGCTGGTGGTGGAAAATCTCAGTTCCTGGATCAGTGGTTAAACTGGGCCCACCAAGCTCTTCTCCTGCTCTTGCAGCCTCTTCTGGAATTCCCACTGGCCAGGCCCAGCTGTGTGAGGCTCCTCTTTGTCCCCTTTTTGGGTTGGGCATGGACACAGCAGTCTCCTGTCTTTTCTGTGTCTGGGGCTTGATTCCTGCTGGTTCCCTGAAGCTCCTGGCCGTGTCCTTAGGCTCCTCTTCCTTATTTCCCTCTTCCTTATCCCCATTTCTCCCAGCACTGCCCTGGAAACCTGCTGATCCCATCTGTGATTCCCTGCAAGTAGCCTGCTAGAATACACACAGTGTATCATGTGGCAGTAGGACTTAAGGGATTGTTTGTATGTTATTTTGAATAACAGATCTAAGAGGCACCTGACTAATTAGGGATCTTGGAATTAAACTGTTAATTATCTGGGCTATTGGCTTGGCCACCACCATAAATGGATTTAAAGTGTGATTAAAAAATTTACAGGGCAAGGTACTGTTGTGATGCTGTTAAACACAGTATCCAGATGCAACTGCTGGCTCGTGGCTCCAGAGAAGGCAGGAAATCCCTCTCTGGTCCTACAATAGAAATCCCTCTCTGGTCTCTTGTGGGCTGTGTCCCAAGGTGGGATCAGGGATGGATGTTGGACTTGGGGAAGCCCTACTTTGATCCAGTGCAACTGTTCTTCCCGTTGATGGTTTCTTTTCTGTATTAAGGTGTTATAGGAGAGAAGCATTTATGTGAAAAATCTAAACTGTAAGTAAATGCAAACACTCAAGGTTGCATAGGAGTCCTGTGCAATGCGATTTAGTAAACAAGGAGCTGACTCTGAGCAAGTGGAGAACATGGACACTTCTGGAAGTTACTCCTGGCATTTGATTTCAGTTCAGAGACTTCTCCAGGCTTTCCTTAAAGCCTGAGAGCACCCAGGGAGCCCTGAAGGGAACAAGAGACAAACTGGCACATCTGAACAGATGTGTCACAGGGAAATAAAAATTCAGGCACCCACAAAAGTTGTTGGTGAGTGGCTCCAAAGGTTTTGTGTTACTCTGAGACCACAGAGAAAGCTTTTTCCGGGTCAGGTGTGTTATTTTTAGAGCTGCCTAAAAACCAGGCTTTCTGCCTCATGTTGTATTTCCAGGCATGATTTATTTTTTTCAGTTGGAAGGAGAGAAAAGAGCTTCAAATACGTTTTGTAGAAGGGAAGATCTTGAGGAGCGCAGTGCAGTCGTCTGTTATGGAGCATCTTACCTACAAAAAAAAGAGTGAGAAGAGGGAAAGGAGCAGTTGCACTGTCCTGGGAATTCATGTGCCCACAATAGGGAGAATGTGGGGATGTGTAAGGACAGCCAGGACTCAGCGCTAGTTTATTGCTCTAGAGATGGTAGGAGGAGAATCAGAGAAAATACAAGTGGTAGGAATGTGTCCTTCCTTCTCCAGAGCATCCCATCTCGTTGAGATGCAGCTTTCTGGGCCTCAGCATGAATTTTTCTGGAGCAGTTCCTCCCTGTGGGACCTTGTGGGAAAGTGTGTGGGCTTCCACATCAAAGGAATGTTCTGCAACACGGGCCAGGGTGATCTCTTGCCCTTCCTGGTGCTTGGAGGAGCCAAGATCTGGAGGGACAATCAGGAGTCCTTCCCAGAATGGTGGGGAGGGCAGGGTAAAGTTTTGGGAGCTTGGTGAAGCCTCTGGAAGTATGGATGAGATAGAACACTGGGAGAGCAATTTGTCTTGGTGATGTGACTTTAGTACTCCAAGAAATGCTCCAGTCTTTTCAAGGCTTATTTATCTCTGACTTATCACATCTGGTCTTGTGCAGGGCTAGGGCAGGATATTGAAATTCAAAGCCAGCTTTTCAGGGATAATTCCTAGCAGAGCTTGCAGTCAGTCCCCTCATAGATGAGGAGCCTCAGGTTTTCAAAGGTACTAAAGCTGTGGAGCTGTGAGTTCCCAATCCCTCTTTCTGGGCAGGGCATTGAAAAGCATCCTTTGAAGTCTGGGACCCACTGGAAAGGTGCAGCAAAGGCTGTTTGGAGCCTCACTGGTGGATTTGCTGTGGGTTTGTGCCTCATCCCATGTCTCTTCTGCCAGGCCCGGGTGAAGGATCTGGAAGATCAGTGTCGCAGTCAGACCGAGCAGTTCAGCCTCCTGTCCCAGGAACTCCAGAAATTCCGGCTCCAAACAGGAAAAATCGACCTTCTCACCTCCACTCTGGTGACTTCAGAGCTGCCCCTTGCTCTGTGCAGCTCCACCCCACAGCCTCCCTGGGAGAAGGGTGAGTGCTGGACATGCCTGAGAGTGTTTTCACCAGGGAGTTGATGTTCTTAGAAATGGGAAGGGGGAAAGGAAACAATGCAAATGTTCAGGTGAATTTTGGGATCTCCATCTCTCTCTGTTGTCAATGTTTTTTGTTTGGTTTGTAGTCATAAAGAGAACTTGGCATTTCTCTGGCCAGAGTGTCCAGTCTCTTAAATGAGGCACATTTGTAGAGACCTGTGCTGCTCGTTGCTGATCCTGGATCCTGCCTGTAGCTCTGACTGATGGGCGGCTGATTTTTATTGCAGAATCAACTGTTCCTGGGTTGCTCCCTCACCAGAGCGCTAAGAAGGTTCACAATGAAGGGACTGAGGAGTTGGAGTCAACCCATAGGGTGCCTGACACCCCTGGGGGCTGCCCAGCTGCTCCCACCAGTGCTCAGAAACAAGCCAAGAAAGTGGAATCTCAGTCCAGCTCTTCCAAATCTGAGTCCATGCACAACAGCCCCAAGTCCTGCCCAACTCCAGAGGTCAGTATGGGAGTCCCCTCTGGGGTCTGTGCTTTCCAGAAGGGAATAAATGCATTGCTGGGAGCACCAGTGAGGCTGCACTGGTTCCCCAGTAAGGCTGCGTTCCTTCCTTCCTGGCTGCCTGAAGAAAATGGGAAAAACAAGAGAAAATCGTAGGAAAATACTGAAAAGGCCTTAGGTGCCATGGCTGTAATGCTGATTTCAACATGTTACTGAGCTCCTGGAACGAAATAACTGGCTGGACAGTGTCTGGGAGCTTGGAGAAGGACTGGGATGGGGAGGTTGATTGGTGGGAAGTGTGGAAAAGCTCTTGCTGAGCTTCTTTGTGCCACCACAGCTGCCACTAAAACACAAAAGGGCTACAAACTGGAGTTCTCAGCATGCTGAAGAGCTGTGTCCAGACTACCTTTGGCCTTGAGCTGTGGATGAGGGGCTCAAACTTCTTTGCTGGTGAAAGAAACCATGAAAAGACACCAAGTTTATGCTAAGAGGGATGGCATTAATAGGCTCACGGGTGGTTGATGCTTCTCCTCCCCAGGAGCTCTTAGGTGGTGGTGTGGGCTCACACAGAGTGTTTGATACTCTGTGTACATCCCTTCAGGGGACAGCTCAGGGTAAAGCAGTGCTGGGGGTGGTCTGGGGGTAGTTTTTGGGTTTTTGGTGTTTCCTGAGCACTAAAACCTTCTTGATCTCGCTGTACCTGTGGAGGACACTGATGTGCTGAGCTGAGGCCAAGGCACTAACCAAGGGCTGCTCTGGGAAGTGCCATGTTCAGAGATAAAGGGAGGAACAGGTACAGGACTGCTCTCAATTCTGTAGTGGGGAAAAATCCTACTTTTTAGCTCTAGAGAAAGCTTGGAAGCCCCCCGTGCTTCCCTGGAGAGATAAGTGCCTCCAGAGTCAGTGTGGGATCCTTGGAAAAGTGTGTGGAGCGTTTGGCTCTAACACAGTTATGGGAACACTGCAGGCTACTAAAAACTGCTCCATCTGGGTCTTCCTTTGGCTGTTCCAGGTGTGTGTTATCCCAGGGTGTGGGGCAGGATTGCTTCACAAGGAGTACCCTGCCTGGAAAAGATGCTCTGGACTCCTTCAGAGGTTAACTTTGGTACTTCGTGTACTAGGAAAAACTACTTTATATTCTGGTGCCTGCAGTGAGTCTCCATCAAAAATACATTTGCCTCGAGGTCTGCTTTCAAAAGGCAGCTTGAGTGGGTTCACTGGCACCATTTCAGACAAACCCAAGGGAGTGCATTTGCTCCAGAAGGAGGGTTGGGTTACACAACTCATTGCCCCTGGATGAAAAATTCTAAAATGTTACCAAGATCAAAAATACTGAGGTAAATTTCTGAAAGGTGCTTCTGCTACCAATGCCTCGAGGGTGCAGCCTCCAGCTCAGGAAATCCAGAAATAGCTGAGGGCTGGGAAGGGAGAGGCTGTAGCAGGAAGATGAGTTTTCTGCCTGCTCTGTCTCTTGTACTCAGCTTTGCTGAGCTGAGGCTACAAGTTCTTCAAGAATGAAGATCCCACAGCTCAGTGGGAACTTTTCCCAAGGCTGCATCACCCACCTGCACAAGGAGTTCTCCTTCATGTCTGACTGGAACCCCTGAAGCTGCAATTGGGAGCTGTTGCCTCCCATTGCCACTTCATCACCTGAAAAGTCATTCTTTGAGATGGTCCTTAGCTCAGGGGCCACCAAACATGAGCTCAGGGGACTTGTTCACTGATGTTGGAACCCTTTGAGTGTTCCTTTACTCAGATCCTTTCTCTTCAATGTTTTCAGGTGGACACTGCAAGTGAAATGGAAGAGCTGGATGTTGACAGCATCTCCCTCATGCCAGAGCCAGGCAGCCAAGGCCCTGCAAAGCTCCAGGTGTTCTTAGCTCGATACAGGTACTGAGAGCTCATTTCTTGTGGTCTGTGTGGTCACACAGGTTGTCTCAGAGTTGCCTTCTTCACACTCTTCCCTTGAATTCACCCTGTTAAAAATGGATCATGTTAGGTTGGGCCATGTATCTTATTCCTCCGTGGGATTTGCAGGCTAGGGGGGTTCACCTGGAGAAGAGAAGGCTCCAGGAATACCTGAGAGCCCCTTGCAGGGCCTAAAGGGGCTCCAGGAGAGCTGGAGAGGGACTGGGGACAAGGGATGGAGGGACAGGACAAAGGGGAATGGCTTCCCACTGCCAGAGGGCAGGGATAGATGGGATATTGGGATGAAATCCTTCCCTGTGAGGGTGGGGAGGCCCTGGCACAGCTTGCCCAGGGAAGCTGTAGCTGCCCCATCCCTGGAAGTGTTCCAGGCCAGGTTGGACAGGGTTTGGAGCAAACTGGGCTAGTGGAATGTGTCCCTGCCCATGACAGGGGTTGGGATGAGATGGTTTTTAAGGCCCCTTTCAACCAAAAGCACAGCAAGCTCAGTGGCTGTTCAGTGACCAGCACTGTGTGAGACTTTTCCTTTCTTTCAATATAATACTATATTGAAAATTCACTTTGAATTGACATATTCCTTGAAATGTCTATTTTTTTTTCAGAATAGTCCAAGAAATTTTCTGCCAAGAAATCTTATTCCAACAATTAAGAAAATTTCTAGATTTTGGGCAAAATCTTTCTGGCTGTAATTTTTAAAGGACAGGGAAAAAACATCACAGAATAAACTCATTTTTTTTGTGTTTATAACTGTTTCTGTCCACTGAGCATCATGGTCAAACTCATTACTATTTATAATTCAAAGAGTATTGACATATCCTTCAGCTTTTACACTGGGATTGGAAGGAAGAGACTTGGGATGATTCTGTGCTTATGGGGAACACATCAAACCTGATGTGTTCTTGTCAGACTCTTGAGTACAAAAGGTCTCTCTGAGCTGAGGGAGACCTTAACATTGCTTTGGCACATTGAAATGCCTTTTAAAGGCTAAAAAGGAGGAATTGGTTGGAGGTGTTTGTGAAGATGTTTTTCATGGGCATTTTCCTGTGACATGAGGTCCTCTGATTACCTGAGGCTCCCTGGATAGGGAGGTTGGAATTACCTGCAGACCAAGTCATATCATCAGTGCATTTATAATTAGCATGCCAGTGGAGCTTTTGGATTGCTGTTTAAAATGTGGAGTTGGAGCAGGAGAAGGAGGCACCACAACCTCTCTGTGCAGCCTGTCCCAGTGCTCAGTGACCCTCAGAGGAAAGAGGTTTTTCCTCAGGTTCAGTTGGAAGTTCCTGTGTTTCAGTTTGTGCCTGTTGCCCCTTGTCCTGTCTCTGGGCACCTGAAAAGAGCCTGGCCCCATCCTCTTGACACCCACCCTGAAGATATTTGTGTGCATTGGTAAAATCCCCTTTCAGTTGTTTCTTCTCCAGGATCTGAATCCCAGATCCCTCAACCTTTCCTCAGGAGAGAGATGCTCCAGTCCCCCATCATCCTCTTATCTCTGTTTCTTCAGATGTCACAAGACATCTGTTCTGCTCCTCAGAAAATTACCTATTATTAATCATTATTTTGTGCAAACTGTAGTTTTGACCTTTGCCTGTGGAATTTGCTGCTTGCAAGGGTGGATGAATTCCCAGTGAACTGAAAGCTTGTCAGCATCACAGCTCGAATGTGCTGCTGGGGAAGTTCCTATACAAATTAAGTCTTCCTACTGTAAATATTTCAGCTACAATCCTTTTGATGGACCTAATGAAAATCCAGAGGCAGAGCTTCCACTGACTGCTGGAGAATATATTTACATCTATGGGGACATGGATGAAGATGGCTTCTTTGAAGGTGTGTTCTAACAGAATGAAATGTGGCTGAACTCCTGTGGAGAGTTGATCTCTCTCTAAAAAAATAAAAAGAGAATTTAGTGAATCTTGAAACCTCAGGATAAAGGTTCTCTGCCCAAAGTTAGTTTGTTAGAGGGAAGAGCAGATTCTGTTGGAAAGGGTTTATTTATGTCATGATTAAACTAAGTCTAAAACATGAGATCCTGATCTGGTGGTTTCAGTGGGAATTTTACCGCTGCTTTCAGCACAGCTCCAGGTTTCATCCCCAGGTGGTTGGTTCCTCCCTCTCCATGGAGAGGAGCCTGTTCAGCCCCAGGCAGATGGGCTGTTTCCCTCTTCCCAGGGGCTGTGTGTGAGCCAGAGCTGCAGCAGCTCATGGTCTTTAATGCCTCCTGCTCTTCTGGCAGAGAGGGGATGAGACAATCCACCCAAACTACAGTTGGGATCCTCCTGGGTGTTGCACAGTGTGTTTCTGTTTTGGCCCCTTTGCAAACACGATCCTGGTTGATTAAAGAGGCAGATGGATTGAAAGCAAGAATTGCTGGCTGTCAATTTGTACTGGGGGTTTTTATGGAGCCACTTAAGGACCGAAGGATCCTGATTTCCTGAGGTGCTTTGCAAGAGCTGAGGCAAATGCATGGGTGTTGCTCTGCTTGCTCTGTGACTGCTCTGCCTCCTTTTTTCTTTCTTTTTTTCTTTCTATTCCCAAGCTTCTCGTGTATTTATTTATTTGTCTTTTTGTTTCTTGTTTAAAGAATAAAAAGGTTATTCTTCACTAACCTTTTCTGCTTTCCCTGCTTTCAGTTGATTTGCTGTAGGCAGAGTTTGGAAGGGGGAAGGCAGTGCAGTCCCTTTTCCTCTGTGGTTTGGTGGGTCTTGCACGGACCAGGTGCTGTGTGTCCCTTGTCCCCACAGGTCATTTTGGGACACTTTTAGTCCAGGACTCAGCTTAATAAAGGAGGGAGCTAAAAGGAAGGCCAGTGCTGAATACAGAACTGGAAAGATGGACTTTCTTGAGGAAGTACTGCAAACCCCAAATCTCTGTGGCTGGGAGAAGACCTTAAATCATCAATCTGCACAGTTTGGCGAGGCTAGAAAAGTTAGTGGAGGAGCTGTGGTGAGGAAAAATGGGATAATGAAGAAGGAGAAACCCTTTAGCTAGTTACACAACCCAACTTTCCACTTAGTTGGCTCTGGAATTTGTGGAGCAGTGAGTCTTCTCAGTGTGGCCGTTGGGATCTAACAGGGAAGCCGTTGGAAGTGCAGGAAACACTGCCAGGAATAACCTCCCAGAGGTTTTTTTTTCATTCCTGAGTGCAGAGCAGTTGTGGCCCAGTGTGGATGTTGTCCCCTAGTCCTCACAGATGGGTTGGAAGGCTGGTTGGCAGGTGCAGTGGTAACAGGTCTCCTGTTTTCTGTTTAGGGGAGCTGATGGATGGCCGGCGAGGGCTGGTGCCCTCCAATTTTGTTGAGCGGGTTTCAGATGATGACCTCGTGACGTTTCTGCCTCCGGAGCTGAATGATCTCACTCATAGCTCGTACCACGAGAAAAGTTTGGTCAGTGCAAGCACCAGCAGTGGAGATAAGAGTGATTTCTCTACTGAAGAGAGTAGCATCAGCCCGCTGGCCAGTAGAGCAGAAGGAGACCAGGAGGAGCCCGTTAGTCACACAGCAGTGCCTTACCCACGAAAACTGACTCTGATCAAGCAGCTTGCCAGAAGCATAGTTGTAGGTTGGGACCCACCTCTTTTGCCAGCTGGCTGCCCAGACATACAGAGCTACAACATCTACGTGGACGAAGAGCTACGTCAGAACGTGAAGAGTGGCCTTCAGACCAAAGCAGTGATTGAGAAGCTGGACTTGCAGAGCAAAGCCTACCGCGTGTCCGTGCAGGCGGTCACCGAGCACGGCAGGTCCGACAGACTGCGCTGCACCTTCTTTGTGGGGCAGGATTTTGGGGTGGCACCCACCATGCTCAAAGTCAGGAGCGTCACTGCCACGTCGGCAGAGGTCACGTGGCTCCCCTGCAACAGCAACTACAGCCACGCCGTGTACCTCAACGGGGACCAGTGCGACGTGACCAAGCCCGGGGTCTACTGGTACACCTTCCACAACCTGCAGCCCAGCACCCAGTACGTGGCCAAGCTGGAGGCCAGGCCCATGAAAACACCCTGGGAAGAGGTGCCAGAGGGGCAGGAGCAGGACTCAGCTGTGATTCACTTCACTACCCCGCTAGCAGGTATCCCATGCAGTGCTTGGAGCCGTGCGCTCGGCCGTTCCCTCTCTGGGAAGCCTTGGGATGAAGGGAGGCCAGGTTGATTAGGTCCCCAAAGCCTGAGGTGCTGTACTGTTTTTTTGTCTTAATGTTTTTCTCCTTTATTTTATGATTTTATTACCCCCTTTGCTTTGGTTTGCTGTGGGATGGCCCCCCCACCCCTGTGCTGGTTGCAGCATGCCTGCTGGGCAGGGCAGGGGAGAGCTGGTTTGCCATGACCTCCCTCGAAGGGTCGCTGCATCTTGGCCTCAGCTACTTTTGCAAAGTTCTGTTTTCTCTGCATTAAAGCTTTCACAGAACAAGAGCACCTTGTTTCCTCTGGCTCTGCCTGTCATTTCTCAGGCTGTTCTAGTTCAGTTCTCCAGTGGCAAGGCTGGTGTGAGTGTTTGCTCTTTGAGTCTAACCAAAGTTGAGCTTTGTGCTGTAGCCAGTTAAGCAAGGGGAGCGTGTTTTTGGTCTTTCACAGGCACACCTGATGCTCCTTTGGATGTCCAGGTAGAAGCTGGTCCCTCTCCAGGCATCCTTGTTATCAGCTGGTTACCTGTCACCATCGATGCCGAGGGGTCTTCCAACGGGGTCCGAGTCACCGGCTACGCCGTGTACGCCGATGGACAGAAGGTTGGTGCTGAGGGCTGGGCAGGAGGGGCTGGGGCTGGAGTAGCAGGCAGTGTCACAGCCTCAAAGCGTGGAAAGTTGGATCCAGAAGCATGTCCTGAGGAGACAATCACAGTCCTTAGCCTGGAAGGGAGCGGTATCAGGAAAGGGCATTGTTGATACACACCGGAAAAGGCATCTCTCCAGTTTTTTGATGTGCTTTTGATGTAGCTAAGCTGGGAAAGCTCCTGTGGCAGGACCTTTGAGTAGCAAAACAGGACAATTAGTGTCAGTCTCCTCTGCTCGTCTCAGACACTGGCCTGATCCTTGGGGAAGGAAGGAGCTCAGTGAGTCCACAGGGCACTAGTACAAGGACGCAGCCCTGGGGCTTGTCTCTGGACTGTGAGGAGTGAGGTGTAGTTCTCCATCAAAAAATGTGCATCAAAAACAATGTGACCAGCAGGAACAGGAAGGGGATTTTCGCCCCTCAGGTGAGACCCCACCTGCAGTGCTGCCTCCAGCTCTGGGGCACTGACGTCAGAAGGAGCAAGTCCAGAAGAAGGGCAAATATAGTCATGTTTGATAGAATATGATTATGGTGACAGTTTCCCTTTACTGTTCATTCTGCCCTCAGAAGGTGAGAATTCTGCACACCTGCTCTCCAGAGCTTTGGTGTCTATGTTAACTTTGGGTCAGGAGTTGTTCTTCTCAGAAGGGTGCACAAACAGTAATTCCTCCCTGTTCTTTGGCTCCCAGGTGATAGAAGTTACTTCTCCAACAGCTGGGAGTGTCCTGGTGGACCTGTCCCAGCTGCAGATGTTCCAGGTGTGCCGGGAGGTTTCGGTGAGGACGATGTCTCAGTACGGGGAGTCGGTGGATTCGGTTCCAGCCCAGATTTCCTCACTCTTGCTCCGAGCCTATCCCTGCACTTCACCTGCCTCCACCACTGTTACCTCCAGGCTGCCCAAGGGGGTTCCCAGGGGCTCCCTGCCTGCCCACAGCCCATCCACACACCCCACTCCTGCGCTCCTGCTCCAACAGAACATTCCTGCTGAGAGCTCAGATGCCAAATTGACTGATGTCTCCTCCGGCCCGGTGCGGGCTCTGCCAGAGACAGCCGCCTCAGCAGCACACCTCTCCTCTCCCAGTGCTCCCTTGGGGCAGGATCTGGGCACTTCCCCACAGGGACTGGATGCTGCAGGAGACAAGAAATGCCTGTCTGTGCCTCCCCAGCAGGCTGGGAACACAGTGCTCCCTGGGGAGGGCATGGAGCCTGGCCCTACCAGGGAACCAGGATTGCAAGGCCTGGCAGAAGGCACAGAGGTGCAGGTAAGTGCTGCCATCTCCTGCCCAGTGCCGTGTGTGCTGGCAAGGGAGATGGGACAAAATGCCACTGAACATCTTTGTGTGACACTTTTGCCTTTGGGCCATCATCCAGTGGTTGGGAAACCCTCAGGGAGTTTTGGCCGCTACTGTATAGAAGTGGAGCTCACCTCTTGATCACTTGTGCAAGCAGATCAGGAGCAGAGTCAGGAAAGCAAGAATTTGCAGAGTTAGAGGGTGAAAAGAGTGTTCCCTCCTTTGTAGAGTGAAATGGGTGCTCCCAGGATGGAAATTGTCCTTCTCACTTGAGATGTGAGTGTTCACTTGGCTGTCAACAAAGGCAAACAGCTGTCTGGCTTTTGTCTGAGCCCAGGGGATATTTAGAAGCCTTGGCACTGCTGTGTTTGAATCTCCCTGGAGTCTGATCCTTCAGTATTTTCAAAGTAGATAAGGACGGGGCTGTGCTCCATTGCAAAATGCAGGGAGGCTCCCTTGGTTAGAGTGAGAGAACGAGGTGCTTGATGAAGGCCCACCTGCCTTCCCTTCCTTGTTCCTGGGGCTCTATTCCTCCATCTCCCAGAAGTTTTCTGAAGCACCAAACTGAACTGGTTGGAAAACAGATGAAAAAAAAACTTCCTGTAATCCAACTAGGTGACCTAATCAGGAGCTTGTTGTACTTCCTGTGTATATTCTTCTTCATGAATTCCTCTTTTCTTCACAGCCTTTACAGCTCCAGGGTAGTGCCAAGCCAACCTGCCAGGGGGTGTGTGGGGCATCCCTCTGGCAGATGAGAGTGGGAAATGACTTTGCACAGTTTGGGCTCTTCTTGCTATTTTTAAACTGGTTATTGTTAGTAGAGTTCTGGTTTTACCTGAGCCAGGTGAGGTGGCCAGAGCTGCAGCAGTAGAGGCACCACGTGTCCCTGGTGACAGGGATGGGTTTGTTCCAGGGCTGGCCAACCTTCCCAACTGCCAAAATATTCATATGCCGACAGCACAGAGCACATCAGAGGTTCACAGAGTTTGGGGTGATAGGACACCTTTTAGGTGTTTAAGTACCCTGAGATACCTCCCCTTGATTTCCATGATTTTTGGTTCGTCTCCCAGATGGAACAATCTGGATCCAAAGCTCCAGAGCTGGAAGGCCCCTGTGACAGCAGCGTGAAGCTCCATGTGGACACCTGCTCCATCGAGGAGCCCCACAAAGGTCCCAGTACTGACAGGGAGCAGGCAGAGGAGAAGCACCCGAGCCCAGAGCCCGTGTCCTTGGCCAGCCAGGCTGAGGGGACACCGGACGCCTTCCGGGACGGGACCGCGGGTGGGAGCAGCTGCAGGTTGTCTCCTGGCAAGGAGGTGATGAAAGAAATGTCCAGAGTGAAAAGAGAGGTTTGTTTAACCTTGGATGAGTGTCTGTGTCCGTGGAGAGGTGTGGATTGTGTTTAACATCCTGAGTTTTCCAGCCTTAGGCAGTGCTATTCTGCAGGCTGGTGGTTCCGTGTGTCCACGTGTAGCTGCCCTGGATGCTTCCCACTTTTTTTCCTGCCACTCTTGAGCTGTGTGTGTGCTAGAGACAGGAAAAACACTCCTTTATTGCTGGAATAGAGCCTGGGAGGACTGAGAAAATCTGTTTTGCTTTTCAATAGCAAGAAGAAAAACTGGCTGAAATGGGCCGCCGGCAGCTGACCCTGTTCTCTGAGCACAACCGGAGCTCTGAGCTGTCTGATATTTTGGAAGAGGAAGAAGAAGATGAACTGTCTTCAGAAGCTCTGGAAGACAAGAAATGGGACCAGAGTGAGCCATATAACCAGGAGAATGGGGAAAAGGTAACTTGTCCAGGGCTCTGCTTGTGGGGAGTGCCAGTGCAGCCATCCCATGCCATCAGCTCACGGGAGGAGGTGCTGGGCTGAGCCCAGAGCTCCCAACAGTGCTTTCCTAAGGTCCTGCCTGCTCTGCTTGTACTCTCAGGCTTAAGGTAGTAAAAACACAAGTTCTGTGGGAGAGGGAAGGGTGTTTGTATGCAATGAATGTAGCTGGGGTTTAATTAGTTAAAAAAAAACTTAATTAGAAAAACACACAGTGTGATGTGAACTTTAGAACTCAGGGTTAAAATCGATCCTATTCAACGATTTCTTAGCACAGATATGAACAGAGAACAGATAGGGATCTGTAAATCCACCCATCTGTGGATCCTGTACCAGCTCACCTTCCCTCCTAAGGCAAAACAGGCATGGGATTCTTGGGGTGTCCCATGCAGAGCCAGGAGTTGACCTCGATTGCTGTGGGTCCCTTCCAGCTCAGGATATCCCATGATTCTGTGATTTTTTGGCTTAGACCTTGTTGTTCTGTGTAGCCAGGGATGGCTTGTAGGAGCAGAGCTGTGGCTTTGCAGTTCAGTAGCTGCAAGGGAGGAAATGCTGAGTGACCAGATTAAGTCCTGTTCCAAGAGTTCCAGCTGGTTCATGTGTTTGAATGCACCTGTGGCAGGTGATGTGCTTCCAGCTGTGTGGCTGGGAAGTGCTGTGGAATCCTCCAAATTACAGCAGTTGGGATGAACATCCATGAGAGAAAGTACTGAGGGAAATTAGAAGGATTTGCAGGAAATGTGATACGTCTGGATGGCAAGAAAGCACCATCTTTGGGTGTTTTTATGCAACCAAAAACCATTTGTAGTTGATGGTGCCCTGTGTGGCTGCAGCTCTGCAGGGATGGGGCTGATGAGCACTAAATGGTAGCAGAGAGTGCAGTGAGTCTGGAATAAATTTGCTGCTGCTCCTTTTCTCCTTCTGAAGGAGCTTCTGCTTCCCAGGTGAGGGGTTGGACCTGCAGTGCAGCTTGTCCAGAGCTTCAGGAGAGCCTGGTGGCTGGAGGGGCTGGGAAGGAAGGAGCTGTTGGAAGGGCTTCCACCTGTTGGGATTGCACTGGAAAAAAAATGGAAGAAAAGCAGTTTCCTGAGAGGAGAAAAGAGGAAATAAGAACATTCAAGAACAGAATTCTTTATTTGTTTGTTTTTTCTGAGTGTTTTATTGGCCTAAATGATTTTGGTTGGTTGGGGTTTTTTTCCTGTTGATCTGAGCAAACTGGTGCTTCTTGACCTGATAAAGTGATTGTTTTCTGTCCAGGCAGTGACAGGGTGAGGGTGACAAGATGCTGAATGAGGAGAGGACATCAGGGTCAGGAAGCTTTAGGGCACAGAGCTCCCAATGCTGCCTTGTAGAGTGAAGGAAGATGGTGAGTGGAGCAGGCCAAGTCCCAGCAGAACTGTTTTCTTGGATTCTGTGAATTTAGTTACATTTTCTGTTATCTCAGGACTCCTCAGCCAACTCTTTCAGGATCTGGAGGATGAAAACAAGGAGAGGTGCTGCTTTTAAAATGATTAACCTCAAATAAGTTGTTTAATTTCTGAAAGCATATATTATCTTAAAAGTAGAAGCCACAAGTTTCCAGGCAGCTAAAATAAGTCTTACCAGACTACTCCTAATTGCTACTTACAAGGTAGGAGCCTAAAATGTCTTCAGAGCACATAATGGTATAAATTGTCAGGGAAGTTGAACAAGAGACTTCCAGAGGTATCTTCCAACCGAAATTACACCTGGGATCCTCCCTTTTATTTTACTGTAAATACAATAAGAAACAAGCCCATGAATTCTACAGTTGGTCCATGACAAATGTTAAAATTCAGCAGCGTTCTCCCCAAGATTTGCTGTAACCTGGTAGGCCCCCACCCAGCTGCAAGTCTGTGCGAGCCTTTTGAGGTGAAAGGTTTTCCTGTGTGTTTGTGGTGCTTCTGGAAGGTGATGGGAAGGGCCCAGGGCACGTCCTCCCACATCAGCAACATCTCCAAGGGGCGTCTTTAGTGCACAGGGCCATTCCCTGTGCTCCAGCACGAGGACAGAGAGTGGATGGGGGGGGCTGTGGGTCTGTGTGTGAGCTCATCCCCAACGTGCAGGGCTGAGCTTTTCCTGCCCCTCATCCCAGCCTGGGGGTGCCAAAGCTGTGGGAAGCACGTGGCAGGAGGAGAGGTGCTGCAGGGAGTGGTGTGTGTACAAGGAGAGAGGCTGGGAGGGAGCTCTTCCATACATTTGCCTTCCTCGCTTCCTGCTGCATTGCTGGTTCATCCGACTGTGTTTGCCAGAAGATCCATCGCTGTCTCTGCCCCTTCCCCTCGCTTGGCTGCAGCCACGGCTCCATCCTGCTGTGCTGGGAGGGAACCAGGGTCACTTTTGCCTCTCGTTTTAATGTTTGATTTCCTCTCTTTTTTCCTCTGCTTGTCCTGGCTGTGGCTTTTCTCGGGGTCTGGGTGTACAGATGGATCTTTGTGATACTGACAGCGATGAGGAGATTCTGGAGAGGATACTGGAGCTCCCACTTCAGAAGAACCACAGCAAGAAGTTGTTCAGCATCCCTGAAGTGACTGAGGACGAGGAGGAAGAGGAGGATGAGAAGTGCGTGGCAGAAGAAAAGGCAGACCCTCAAGATTCCTTGGAAAAACACACCCACCATTCAGGGAGACCAGAGAAGCCTCCCAACAGCAAGGAGCCATTTCCAAAGGCAGATGGGAATAAAACCTCTGTGGTGTCTGCTCAGACTCCACGGGAGGAGCACGGTGCTAAGGAGAGCAGAGGGGATGCTGACCATGTAAACCCTGCCTTTGGCCAGCTGGGCTGGGCTCAGAAGAAGGCAAACTGGAACTGGGGCTACCAGGAGAACGATCCAAAGCCTGGGAGTGGGGCAGGCCCCTCTTGGAGCAAGAAGAAGGGAAGTAGCTATCAAGAGAAGATCCGGAGTCGGCCTGAGATGGGTAGGAAGAGACAGAGTGATTTAACAGAGCACTGCAGTCGCCTGCTGGGCAACTGCAGCCAGATGGGCAGTGGGTTATACAGAGCTCCCAGCCTCAGGGAGGAGCTCAACGTGGTCAGCAGTGCCGGTGGTAAGGAGGGGTTGGATCTGTACAGCCGTGCCAGACAAGGCACCCTAAGGAAAAAAACCCCAAAGGCAGCGGGTTCAGGGGGCACAGAACCTGCTGCGATGGCCACGTGCTGCTCCAGCCCCAGGAGCCTGGAGATAGACATTGAATACGACTCTGAAGACGATCAGGATTCAACCTGTGCGTCCTCCCCTGAGAGCAGGCGGTGGCCAGAGAGGTTCCAGAGCTCTCAGGGTGACTGGAGTGATTGCTCCAGCCAGTCTGAGGCTCCTCACACAGATGGCAGAAGGGACCTGACCAGGCTGGAGATGATGGAAGAGCAGGGTTTGGAATGGGCCGGGTCTCCGAGCCGGCACGTGCGATTCTTCCAGCGGGAGAAGGAAGCCCTGAGATGTGAGAGCAGCTCTGAGGAGCAGGGCTGGGAGCTGGACTGTAAGTCACCTGGCTGGAGAAGGAGGCTCGAACATCCTTCGAAGGGGATACGTAGCACCTCCTTGCACAAAAGGGTTGGGTGACTTTTCCTATTCTGGCTTTGAAGCAGCTTGCAGTGGCTCTGGCTTCCCTCTGCTTCCCTGGCCTGCCTGTTATCTTGCTTTGTTCGGTGTTGTCCAGAGGAAGAAGCCTCCTCTAGGATTGTCTGGAAGAATATCTGAGAGATTCTGTAGTTCTGTGCTGCTCCGTGGCTTTTCTTGTAGTAGCTGCTTCTGCTTTTCCTGCTCCCTGACCGAGTGGCACCGATGCAGTATTCCTTTTCACTCTGGCTCTTCCTCCCCATGGCAGGAGGCTGTGAGAGGGACCCACATGAAAATCCCTCCTGAAATAAGCTCATTTGTGTAATGTCATTTTGCCTCCCCTGGAAATGCCCTTTTTCCTGCCTCCTCACCCTCGCCCAGGGGATCATCACTGGGGCCTGGCAGGGCTCCTGTCTGTCCTCAGATCTGTTTTCCAACTCCCCTTGGTATTTCCAGCTCTAGAGTGTCCCTGAAGAGGAATGTTGCATTTGGATGCTCTGCTCTTTGTGGAGTGTGTTTGGGCTGAGCACTGCTCACTGAGTCACGAGGCAGAGGCTGCTACTAACTCTGGTGATTCCAATTGCAGGCATCCAGTAATAAAGATTCCAGGGGCCCGGAGCCGGCCGGCACAGCCTGGCAGGCTCCCAGCAGGAGACGCAGCAAGAGAAGAAGCCAAATGCAGAAACCTTTGCTCTCTAGTGCAGGTGAGCAGCAATGGGGAGAGGGGTGTGGGCAGCAGGAGACAGGGAAGCTCCTGGAAAAGGTAGGGAGAGGCTGGCAGGGAGCATCTGAGCCGTGCAGGGCTGTGGCACGGGAAGGGTGCTGATGTCGCCTGTGGTGTGTCCCCTCTGTGCACAGGTCCTCCCAGGAGCAGCGCTCCCGAAACCTCTGGCAAGGAGGATGGCATCAGGATATTTGTGGCTCTCTTCGACTATGATCCTGTCTCTATGTCTCCTAACCCTGATGCAGCAGAAGAGGAGCTGCCATTTAAGGAGGGACAGATCCTGAAGGTAAAAGAGGAGTGAATTCCTATTCTGTGTGGATTCATCTGGTGTTCCAGGGACTTCCAGGGGAGCAGTGAGGCAGCACTGATCCTCTTCTCTCTTGGGACCAGTGACAGAACCTGAGGGAATGGTTGGGGCTGTGTCAGGGGAGAATTAAGTTGGATTTCAGGAAAAGGTTCTTCCCCCAGAGGGTGGTTGGCACAGAACAGGCTCCCCAGGGTTTGGGCACAGCCCCAAGGCTGCCAGAGCTCCAGGAGGGTTTGGACAACACCCTCAGGGACAGGGTGGGATTGTTGGGGTGTCTGTGCAGGGCCAGGAGCTGAACTCCATGATCCCTCTGCATCCTTTCCAGCTCAGGATATTCCACAATTCTTCCTCTGTGCATCTCAGTCCCTGCAGCACCAACAGTGTCTGTCCTGTGCTTCCCTTTGCAGGTGTGTGGGGACAAGGATGCTGATGGCTTTTACAGGGGTGAATGTGCAGGAAGGGAGGGATACATCCCATGCAACATGGTCTCAGAAGTGCAGGTGGACAACGATGAACTCAAGAAGCAGCTCCTGAAGCAAGGGTTCCTGTCTGCTGACACAACCACGGAGAGCCAAGGTACTGGGTCTGTGTGTGCCCTGTCCTGAACTGTCAGCAGCTCACCTGAGCCATCCACAGGGCTGTGCTGGGATCTGCAGTCTGATTTGGTGGGAGACCAAGCAGGGAGGTCTCTCTGGCTGAGGGAGGAAGGTGCTCCCAGCTCTCAGTTCATTCCTGACTCCACTGCAGCACTTGCAGCTGCTGGAGCTGCTCCTGCACTGAACTCAGGAGAGAGGGAGTGAGGGTGATCCTCGCTAGGGAGGGAGACACAAAAAGGTTTGGAAGGCAGATGAACAAGAGTTCTCACTCACTGAACCCTTTGGGGTTGACCCTGCTCTTGGGTGAGGGAATCTGGGACTTGGGAATGGAGAAAGATGGGGGAGGAAAGGTGTGAGACAAGGCAGGCAGTCAGGAGTGTACAGAGAGCAGAGCTGGTCCTTGGGTTCATCTTTACTTACTCCCTGGAGGATGTGGCTCAATGCTTTGTGCACTGCAGAGACTTTTCTGTTTCTTCCCACTCATGTGCTGGGAGAGAGGAGGAACCATCCCTGGGATGTGCAGCCAGCACAGCTCAGGCTCAGGGGCTGCCCCTGTGTCACCACTGGAGTCCCAGTGCCTGTCCCTTATCCCTCCCATATCTCATCCTGCACCCTCTGCGTGCTCTGTGCTACCAGTGCCAATCATTGGACCTGCTCCACTTGTTGAAACAAGAGGAAATTCCCATTTTGGAATCCCTGTTTCCCTACCAGTCCTGCGGGGAAAAGCAGCACAAGTGTGGGTGGTGGCAGAGGTAAGCCCTGACACTGCCTGGGCTGTTCCTCTGCCCCTTACAGGACAGGCAGTGGGGATAAAAACCAACCAAGCATAAGGAGAAAAGAAGCAATCCAACTTGTTCCCATTTCTGTACAGGGAGATCCAGTATCCAACCCCAGTAGGTCTTTAGATCTTTAAAGTTTCTTCCAACCCAAACCATTCTTTGATTCCAAAGGGCTGACATTGCTCAGCTCCTGAATGTGGCTCCCTAGAAGGTTGATCCTGAGGAGCACAGGGGTCAGAGGAGCCTGATGCTTTCACTATGTGATTTTTTTTGGTAGGTTTGTCCTTCAGCCTCCCTCATATAGGGAGAGGAGATTTGAGTAAGGTGTTTTTCACATCCATACTCTTTTTTTTTTTTTTTTCCTGTGTAAAAGAACCCAGAATCCAGTGTCCAGAGATGGCTGGATCCCTATAGTGGCCTTTGTCCCTCTGTGGATACACACAAGGCTTTCTGTCCCTTGCCCTATTGGATACTCTTGGAAAAATCAAGGAACTCAGTAGCTCTGAGACTTCACGAAGCATGGAGGGTGTGAAAGTCTTCAGGAGGGTGGTGGTGGTGGAAAATACGTACCTTGTGTGTTTATGCAGGGAGTGACCACAGTTTCAGCACTGCTGAGGCCACACCTTGAATCCTGAGGTCAGTTTTGGGCCCCTCATTGCAAGAAAGACATTGAGGGGCTGGAGTGTGTCCAGGGAAGGGAACAGAGCTGGGAAAGGAGCAGCTGGAGGGGCTCAGCCTGGAGAAAAGGAGGCTCAGGGGGGACCTTCTGGCTCTTTGCAATTCCCTGACAGGAGGGTGGAGCCGGGGGGGTGGTTGGACTTGATGATCCTAAAGGTCTTTTCCAGCCTTAAGGATTCTCTGATGCCTTGGCAGCTGGGCTGGCTGTCCCTCTGCTGTTTTCCTGCTGCCATAAACCCCTTGTGACCCCTTGTCACAGCCTTGTAAGGAAGGAAACGCCCTGGACATGCTGGTTTGGGTACTCCTTCTGCTGGTTCTTTGGGGATTTCATCGAGTACTGACCCTGCTCAGTGCAGAGGCTTTAGCCAGAGACCTCCCTAGATCCCTTCCCACCTCACCTGGCACTTTTGAGGCGTTAATGGAGCAAAGTTTTATTTTGTCCTCGTAATGCTGCTTCTGAAAGTTAAATTGCAGCAAAGCCTGTCTGCTGTGGCCTGTGGAATGGCTGAAAGGCATGAGCACAGTGTGGATTTCTGTGTGTATTTGGGATGTGGATCGTGCCTTCCCCGAGTCCACATGCAAGGACTGGAGATTTGGGCCGTGCCCACAGAAATCCCAGTGTCAGCTTCCCGGGGGAGGCACGTCCTGCCACTCTGTTCCCTGTTCACTCTTCAAAGTGCTTTTCACTTCCCATTATTCACTGTCTGTTTCTCTTGTCTATTTATTTGCTCTTTTTTTTTTATTTTTATTTTTATTTTTTCTGGTATTTTGCTGAAGGAAATGGCACATTTTCTGCACCTCCACGCCGCCAAACCGTCCCTCCTCCAAAACCCAGACGCTCCAAGAAAGGTCTGTGTCACCCACCACTTCCTCTTTGCTTTCTGCTCTAGGATTACAGACTGCATTGAATTTTTACTACTTGCTTACAGGACCCCCCGATGTTTGTCTCTGTACGACTGCTAGGAAGTGGAAAGAGAGCCCATCCCTGTGCTGGTGTTAAGTTTTTAACAACAGTGATGTCTTTTATAGTTTTGGAGCTTGACCTCTGCTTCTTGTTACGTCCCTGAGTCCTGGTCCTGGTTACTGGCGTAGACTTTGAGTTGCATGACCAGTTTGCTTCTGTTGTTTGCTGCCTTGGTCTTTGTTCTTTTTTATTGTTGTTTGTCACTTGTGTCCTGTGGTCACTGTGGGAAGATGAGCTCTCACTGATGGGGCATTTCCTTCCTCCAGCAGGGCTGGATAAGCAGGAGAAGTACAAGTCTCAGCCAGGTGAGAATTGCTCTTTTTTTGACCATGAGTAAGGAATGCATGCTTGAAATACAGACTTGTTTTGTGGTCAGGGGCCTGTGGTGCTGCTTGAGACTGTAAGAAAAGAAGACTTTTAGTTCTTTTGATTTAGTAGTGGGTGCAGTGGCCTTTGACTAAGCAGGCAGTGTTTGCAGGGGGAGGGCACTCGTGGCTGTGCTGTGGAGGAGCAGGGAAAGCTCTAACTCATCCTTAGGATCCAGGATCCCTTCAGAGGGTGCTCACTTTGCTTCATCTGGTGCATTATCTGTTGATGTCCAGAGAAGCCAAGGCAAACCCTCTGCCAGCCCATCCAGTGCTGACCTGAAACAGTTTAACTTCATGAAGGACTGGACAGTGAGTGCTTTCTGGAACTCCAGGCTTGGCTTCTGTAGGCTCAGAGCAGCTCTTGTCAGTCATGGGCTGAGCAGGCAGGTGGGTGTGGAAGTGCAGTGTGTTCCCTGCACGATGAGATCCCTTTGTGCTGTTCCCCTGGCACTTGGAGGATAAATTTTGTAGCTCAACGGCAAATCATTGCGTAGTGGGAGGAGAAATGTCCATTTGAGACACTGTAAGGAGCCTGCTGTGCTCTGTGTATATATACACACATATATTTGTGTGAACAAATTGAAAGCATGAAATAAAACATTCCAATATATTGGCAGAACACCAGGATGCTGGAATAGGGAGATGTCCCCCCTTCTGGGCTTATGAGGTGATAGAGGAGATCAGAAAACTGCTTCACCAGACGTCTCTGAGGTCTCTCTCCATTCAGGTTCCCCCACTATTGTTTTTGCTCAGTTCACTACAAGAATGCTGAAGGAGTTGCTGTGATCTGGGATTTTGTCCTGGTACTTCCAGCTCAGGATATTATGGTTCATTTCTTGTCCTGCAGGGCAGAAACACGAAGACATTGAAGCAGAACTGCTGACTCCTTGCAGGATGGTGGCTGTCTTTGACTATAACCCCAAGGAGAGCTCTCCAAATGCAGATGTGGAGGTAACCACCAGCTGCTCACCCTTTTTAGAGGGTTCTTTTTCCTCTCTCTGTTTTCCTTCTATCCCAGAACACTTTGGTCCAACCAGAGTCTCAGGGAATCTGTGTTAGTGTCTCATGGCTTTGTAGCATGCTTTAGTGATTAAGGACTAAGCAGATCTGGGGCAGGAGGAATTCTTACCAACTGATCCAGGAAACACTCTGGGAAAAGGAAAAGCTGCTTAAGGGTTTGAAAGCACTTCTGGTACTTGATGAGCATGACTTCTGTGTTAAATACCTGTATGGGTATTTAAGCAATATAGCAAGAAGATTGAACTCCAGTTTAATGGATCAGTCTTCAGACTTCTTCTTTTTCTAGCAGTCCCTCCATGTAGAATCATAGAATCATGGAATAGGTTGGTTTGGAAGGGACCTTAAAGCTCATCCAGTCCCACCCCCTGCCGTGGACAGGGACACCTTCCACCAGCCCTGGTTGCTCCAAGCCCCGTCCAACCTGGCCTTGGACACTTCCAGGGATGGAAAGGGATAGAATTTAAACAGGAAGGAATATAATCCAAACAGCATTTTTGTGGATAAGCCTGTTCCAGGTGGAAAGGTGGCAGTTCAGAATCCTTCCTTCAGAAAGAAGATTAGCACATGCTCTGTTCCTTGTTCCCCCTTATCTCTGTTAGTCCACTCTGAGCAAACAGAAACGTGGGGTTTGGAGTCAGATCCTTTCCATGCATCCAGGAAGGAGTGTCTGGCCAAGACATGGCACAGTTTAGGGAATACTGGGCCTCCCAAGCTGGGTGTGTCATGGTCTGAACATCCTGCAGCTGAGGACAGTGTGTTTTAGGGAAGGTGGAATACCTTGGGGGACACAATGAGAGCTTGGATCCAGCCAAAGAACACTTTGAGCCCTTGTCAGCAAAAAGGGGACTGTACTTTTTGCAGTGATTTGGTCTTCCTAGAACCTTCCTTACAGACAAGAGCTCAAATTCTTGGAACAAGCTGGTGCAGTTCTGCTGGAGATCCTCCCTCCAATTTTCAGTCACTTATTCTGCAGGAAGGGGGCAGCTGCTGCTTGTGAACTTGCAGCAGCCTCCTTGTAGGATCAGCTCTACCATTCTGGGAGTGAAGCTCCCTGCAAGTGTCTCTCTGGAGCAAAGCAGTTCTCAGCCAGCAGGAGGAACCTGCAGCCTCCAGAGAGAACGTGAGGACCAGAGATATAAGAAGGGAAAATATTAGAAGCAGGTGCCTTCCAGCTGACACTTGGGAAGTGCCAAAGTGTCTTGAGTGGGACACAACCTGTTTGGAGCCTCCACTGGGCAGATTGTCCCATTAGAAGAGGCTGCTGACACCTTTGTCTTTGGCCCTGTGCCCCCCAGAGCGTGTGCTGAGGTGTCTGACAGGACAGAGGGTGTGACAGTGTGTCTTGTGGCGTGGGCAGGTTCTCTCTCCAGGTCACATCTCCCTGTTTGTGTGGATTCCTGCCAGTGACTCATCCCTGAGCACTGCACACAGACAGGCTCCTCCAAGGGAGCAGGGTTTGTAATTACATGGAAAGAAATTAAAGATATTTCAGTGTTTGCTCAGCTTATCCTCAACACACCTTTCCAGAGCAGGTGGTAGGTCCTATTTTGAAGCTTTATTAAAACTGGTTTAAGAAATAGCCTTGGCTCTTGTCTTTAATTTATGAAGTGCCTCCTTAGCAGTGAATTCCACAGGTTAGGGTGGACTCCCTCTGTGAGGATGACTGTGCAAGAAGCCCAGGGGATCCTGTGTTCCTGGAGGGAAATCCCAGGCAGAGCCTCTCCTGTGACCTCTGTTCTCTCCCTCTTTGCAGGCTGAACTGACTTTCAGTGCTGGGGACATTATCACTGTGTTTGGCTCCATGGATGATGATGGATTCTATTATGTAAGTGCAGGGGTTGGGAAGATCCTGTGGCTGCACTGGAAGTTGCTGGAGTCTGTGGAGCAGCAAGAAAGCAGAAATCAGGGAACAAAGGATTCTAATTTTGGAAAAAAAAAATCAACCCCAACTTAACTTAGTGCAGGGCAGTTTGTTTCTGGCAGTCCATGTTCCTGCTGTAAACCCAATATCATGGAATGGTTTGGGCTGGAAGGAACCTTAAAACACATCTCATTCCACCCCCTGCCACGGGCAGGGACACCTTCCACCAGCCCAGGTTGCTCCAAGCCCCATCCAGCCTGGCCTTGGACACTTCCAGGGATCCAGGGGCAGCCACAGCTTCTCTGGGCACCCTGTGCCAGGGCCTCCCCACCCTCACAGGGAAGGATTTCTTCCTGTTATCTAACCTTTACTCTCTCCTGTGGTTTTGGGCTCTGAATTGTTCCACAGCTAAGGAGGGTGTGAACTGTGGGATTTGCTGAGGATCCTTCCAACATGGGGGTGTTCTGAGCTTCTCTCAGGCCACTTCCCAGCCTTTTCTGCGCCTCACGTTACTATTTCTCCATCAGCCAGGAAACCTGATGTGAGAACTGAATGTTCATCTTGCAGGGAGAGCTGAACCAACAGAGGGGGCTCGTCCCATCCAACTTCTTGGAAGCTGCTCCTTTGGATGGAGGCCTGGGGGAGGAATTTCACTCGAAAGATAAAGAAGCTTCTCCACTGAGTGCTGAGAGCCAGGTAAGGTGTGTGACTGCATGGACAGACATCCAGGCTGGGATGTGGCTGGAATTGGGCCTTGCACAGCATGCAGGATGGATGGACTCACTGGAGTTACTGCATGAGCCCAGTTCATCCCATGGGAGACACTCTGAGGTTCAGAGGGAGTGCTGGGAGCTCTTCCCAAAGACTTGCAGTGCAAAAGGAGGCACAAAGCAGTAAAACCTGCTGGGGCCTCAGTGTCATTGTGGTCAGGTGGGCAAAGAGCATCCCACATCCCACCAGCAAATTGTTTGGGTCCACAGAGTGGTCAGTGGTGAAATCCTGCTGCAAGCAAAGCACTTCAGCAGCTCCCCAGACACAGGGAATCCCTCAGTTATGCTCATATCCATGCCAGAGAGTTCTGGATTGAGTGACACCCAACCACCAATGCTCTTCCACCCACCCTGAGTCAGATATATCTTAATTCAGGCCAAGGTGCTCCTGGATAAATCCAAAACACACTGAGGAGTTTCCCAAATGGATCTGTGGGATGGATCCTGGAGCTTTGAAAACATCCCACCAATGCAGGGAATTCAGAGGTTAAGCCAACCCCTTGCATTATGTTGCTGATGTTCCTGGAACAAATGCTCAGGTAGGAAATTTGGGTCACCTCTCAGGCTCAATGAGTCCTCAGGGGGTGAAGCCAAAAGCAGCTCCCTGGTCATTCCAGGACCTTGTGTCACTCCAGGGTGGGAGGCAGGGAGAGACCCAGCTCAGTTCCCAGCTCCCCTGTGCTCAACTTTCAGTTCTCCCTGGGAGGTTGTTGGCACTGTTCTGGTCCCACACTCACAGCAGTGTTGGAGCAGGCCCAGGCTGGCTCAGAGTCAGTCCTTAGGAAATATGTGGCCCTGCATCCAGCTCTGTTGAACGTTCCACTGGTGTCACCCCAGCTTCCCTGCTCTCTGCAGAATTCCTTGGCTTATTTCTCATGCTCAGCTCTTCTCTGTATCCACCTCCCCTTTCTGTCTTTAAGTGCTGCTTGATCTCCCTTAGGCTCCACCTCAGCCCCATCCCTTGATGCCTTCTCACACAGAGCAGGCCTGACTAAGAGATGAGATTTGTGGGCAGCTTTCTGGATCATCTTCTGAGCTCAGCAGCTGTCTGGGTGGCCTGTGCTTCTCTGTTTAGGAACCTGGTCCGTGCTGGAGAATCACAGGTTAATCAGCTGTTACTGCCAGGGTTTAAGAGCCCTCAGGTGACACCAGTCTGAATTTCTGGGGTTCCCTCTTCAGCTTCCCTCTCAAAATGATCTGCTCTTCCCAAATTAACTCATCTGTTGGAATAGAGGGTGCCAAGTGAGACCTGAATCAGTAAAACTAAACCAGGTGGAATTCTCAGTGTATCTTATTGCAGATCTTACCCTCCTCTCCAGCAGCACAGGGGCCTGTTTCAGGTGCTGGGGGGTCGTTATTCCAGCCCCAGCCTGGGTTCTCCTGCAAACCAGGGGAGAATTCAGGTAACCTTTCTGCAGTTGTGAAGGATTTGTAATGCCCAAACCACTTTCCTCTCTGCTCTCCACTCCTGCTGGGCTCAGCAGTGGGTGACTGATCCCCTGGACACAGCAGGCCCAGATATCCCTGTGTGCAGAAGGCTGGAAGCTTTTTTTCCTGTGCTTCATGACTTTTTTTTTTTTTTTTTTTTACACTTTGAAATGTGTGAAAACCCACATAAAATAGCCACATTTCAGCCTTCAGACCTTTCCCATTTGTCTCCAATCCTCTGTGCCAGAGATCCATTGGAGCTTCCCCTTGCACTGGCTCTAACTTGGGGTCTGCAGAGCAGGAACCTGCTGCCTTAGTTCAGGATGGATTTGGTACTTCTGGTATTCCCCTGATCCATGAACTGCTGTTCTCTGTAGTCTGAAGGCTTGGAAAATTCAGTTGGTGAAGATTAAACCAATTTTATTTCAGTGGGAATCAACCTGAACTCTCTAGACGTGACTGTGCTTTGGCTGCTTGTGTGTTGTGCCAGCCTGATTCCTGTCCTGCTTCATCCCTGCTTCTCCTGGATCCCTGTCCTGAGGAATTCTGGCTTAGCACTCTTAGCACTCGTCCTGCTTGTGCTCTGCAATCCAGATCTGCCTGAACAGCTTCCCCCATGAAGGGCACCTTTTCCTCCTTTTAAAAGTGGTACATTTACCCTGCTCAGAACCAAACTTGTGCTAATGAACTGCACTGAAGTGTGTTTAGTGATAAGTGAGGGGGCAGAATCTGAGCCCACAGAGGTTTTGGCTCAGTCACAGCAATCCCAGCATCCCAACCGGGGGGCAGAACACCTGATGGGGAAGGCAGAAGGAAGAAATACCTCCTTCTGTAACCCAAACATATTCCATATCCATCCCTGAGCTGGAGTGAACTCTCACAGTGCTGCAGCCACGCCTGGGGCTTTCCAAACTCCAGGGGCACATTAACTCCCCAGAGTTAAGGAGCTTGCTTGTTCAATCTGCTGTTGGCAAAACAGGCTCCCAGCAAATTCCCAATCCCAGCTTGAGCCCTGGGGTCATGTTGTGTGCACCCTGGCACAGCTTTGGAACTGGTTAAAGCTCAGTCAGAAGCTTCTCCAGCATGATCGTGTGAGTGATTTTTTTAAAAAAATCACTTGTAACTTCTTGGATTTGTTGTTTTTCCCCCCCGTCTGTCACTTCCCTTCTCCCTGCTGCCCTTCCAAAGGCCTGAGAATAAGGACAGTTTATTTTTAAATTGATACTTGGGGAAGGTGGATTCATTTTGAACGATTTCTGACTCAATCTTAAAATGCTGGCAGCTGAAAAGATGAAGCAATTTGACTTATGAACTGACAACGTTTGGGGATTAGAATAAACAACAAAAAACAACAGCAAAAAGAGGAGGATCCAAGAAGTTCTGGTCACAACCAGGGCCCCGAAACACTCGTGAGCACCAGCTCAGAGCAGTTGCTTTAATGCTGTGGCTGTCAAAGGATTATTTTTGCATCAGTAACTTGCAGTTTCTTGTAAAGCACCTTCAGAAAGTGTTTGATTCTAATTGATTTCATGTATTTATTTCTGCCTGTGTAATGCACCCGGGATGGTTCTTTTCTTCAGAGAATGAGGAAGAGAAGAGTCCAGTGATAGATATGAATGATACATAGAGAGAGCAACCATGTAAGTGTGTGTGTGAGAAGACCTTCAACCTCCCCCCCAGCACTTCACAGGGTCCTGCCCCTGCAGTTTGCTCCTTTTCTTGCTTGTAGTTTGACAGGGCTGGTTTGGGGCTGTGCTGGCAGGTCCCCCCTCCAGACCTTTCCCTGCCAGATGGGTTCTGTGTCAGAGACAAGCCATGATCTGTTCAGCACGTTGTTTGGAACAATTATCAGGTGGTTTTGGGGACCAGGATATTCAGGTTTGGGGAAAGACCTGCTTTGGAATTCAGCCTGGCCCTTCTACCGCTGCCCACATCAACTTTGTTTGGCCTCTGCAAGCTCCTGCTCAGGCTGAGCACACTCACCCTGGACTTTTTACCTTCTTGGTTTCACTCCTTCCTGACAGCAGTCCTGAAACCCCCCTGCACACCCTCACTTGAAGAAAATACTAACATTTAGTCCCCAAAACCAACCTGGTGTGGATAATTGTTCTACCAACACTTAAACAACTTTGGGGCTGGGTGGGTGAGACCCCTGGTTTCGGGGGGCAGTGGGAGCAGATCTTGTGTTTTTCTTTCCTGTTTTTTTCTGTTGTTTTCTAGAAACTGTGCAAGTCAGTAATACCTGAGAGAGCACTGAAACTACCCCCTGAAAACTGACATCACTCTTCTGTTTATCAACTCTAATAACTTGCATGAGGATCTTGCCAGACCAGTTTTTTTCCTTTATTTTTTTTTCTCTTGGAGAAGAACCCCCCAATTTTAGTATCATTTGTTTCTTAGCAGGTGATTTCTGTGAACTAGTTCTTTTGCTTTTCTGCCACGTAGAGACCTCTGAGAACACCTGCACGTGGCTGTGTGGGGAGAGAGTGTCTGAGGTGTGGAACTGCCTGGGCATCCTGTTCCACAGCTGGGAGTCAGCAGGATGGGACTCCAGCCACACAGGCAGGACACTGCCTGCCCCTGCCTCTGAGCTGTTTGATATTTGATAACAACATTGATGCTGCAGTCTCCTTGTTACACTAGACAGTTGTGACTGTGGGTTGGGTACCTGCCTCTCAGTTTGCACAGGGCCTTTCATCCACAACTCTACAGGGGAGATTGTCTGTTGGGCCACCAGATCTGCCCTGAAAGTGTTCCACCTTTGCCAGGGAAGTGGTTTCCAGTGGTGCAGGGGCAGGGCCTCCCCTGCTCTGGCTGCTCAGGAGTGACTGATCCCCTGGATGCAGCAGTTTGGCTCAGCTATCCCTGCCTGCTGAAGGCTGGAAGCTCTTTTCCTGTGTTTCATGACACCTTTTTTAAACAGAAATGCCTTTTAAGTGTGTTAAAACAACCCATATAAAATAGCCATGTTTCAGCCTTGCCTTCCCTTCAGCCCTTCCCCTTTATCCCCAATCCTCTGTGCCAGAGATCCAACAAAGCTTCCCTTGGCACTGGCTCTGAATTTCAATCTGCAGAGCAGCAACCTGTTGCCTTAGGTCTTGCACAGCCCTTGTTCTTATGGAGTTTGATTTTGGCAATGTCCTGCCTTCTGTCCCAGGAGCCCAGCAGGCTCCCTGGCCCAGGGATCCATGGATGCATCAGTACCTGTCTCCATCTGCACTCTCGGGAGCTGCTTCGCTTTCTCAGCTGGGGAGCAGCATCAGGTCTTCAGTGGGGCTTTTCTGCTCTCCTGTTCTTAGCCCAAAGTTCAGGAATTTCAGAATGTCAGAGCTCAGGCAGGGCCTGGGCCGTGGGTACAATAATTTCAATCCACTGCAAACATCCTAACTGGACCTGCACCTTCCCAGAGGACACTGGTGGGGAGAAGGCCGAGTTAGAGCCTGTGTTGGTGTGACATCCTTCAGCACCTCTAACTTCTGCTTTTTTCTTTTGTTTTCTCTTTCTCCCCCTCCCCAGCTAAACCCAGATGGATGTGTAGATCAGAGTGACTCCTCACCAACTCCTCCTTCTCCACCACCTTCCTGCCTTGTCCCGTGTCCAGAGCAGGCGTCGCTGCCCCTCCTGGCCCGCAGCGACAGCCCTGGGCAGAGTAAAAAGAAGAGAAGCTTCTTCTTCAAAGGGAAAAACCTCTTCAAAAAACTTGGGTCCAATAAGAAAAACTAACAAGGGGGGTTATTCTGCACAGAGACTGCGAGTTCAGGAGAAACCCCCTGCAATAAGCTGATTATTTTCATAGGGGAGAAGCGTGACTTGAGAAAGTTGTGGAGTGGGTGTGGGAGCTGTGCCTGCTGAGAGCCCCCCCTCCCCCGGGGGGGCAGTGGCTCTGGGGGTGTGAGGGCTGAGCTCTGGGGGTGCAGCTCCCTCCATGCACTGGTTCCCTGTAAATATTTTCATTTCAAGGTTCTATTCTGGCTGTAACTTAGCTAACTGGCTTTTCCCAGCAAAGCCCCTTAGGAAGAGACCCCTTGTACTCCACCCCCTGGTATTTCTCTGCTCCAAAGGAGCTCGTGGCAACTCCTTCACTTCCCGCCAAGAAAAGTTGCACTTTTCTGTCCCCTTACTCTCCCCTTTGCTGTCTCTGGGCTGACGAGTGAGTTCTGATTTGTACTGTAACCTGTAAATATGCAGCTGTGCCTAGAGCATCCCACACTGCCTCAGTCAGGACCCAGCACCAGGATATTCCCGGGGAGGAAAGAGCAGATTGGGAGTCGGGATTTCAGCCTGTGGGTTGGGCTGCTGGAAAGCTGCTCCCTCCTGGTGCACCTTGACCACGCCTGGCTGGGGCCTCCGCCTTATGATTTATTTATTTATTTATTTATTGATCTGTTTATTTATGGGTTTCTTGAGCTCGTTATTTATTTCTCTATTTATTTATTTATTTATTTGTTTATTTCTTTCTTTCCCGGCCACCTCTTCCCGCGGTTCCCTCGGGCTGTTTTCCCGGAGCGTTGGGAGAGCAGGGCTGGGGGATGGATGGAGAGAGTTTGCAGCTGTTTTCCTGGGAGATGATGTGCTCCTGGAGTTCAGACACATCCCTTTCCAAGCCACAGAGGGTTTTGTACCACATGGTTCCTGCCCTTTCCCATGTTTCCTCCGTTGCATGTTCCAATTCCTTGTTTTTTTGGAAGGTGAGGTCCGTGGGTGGTGCCAGCACAGTGTCCACAAGCAGTGGTGGTACAGTTTGTTTTTATTTAATATCAAATTTTATTATAATAAAGTCTATTTTCACAAAAATACATTTTCCTTAAAAAAGCCAAGGATTCCGTGGTGCTTCTTTGGGGGGGTTTGGGGAGGCCAGAGGGGGAAAATGAGCCCATTCGTGGTCCATCCTGCACCTTCTGTGTCACCTTCTCAGGGGGACAGACCCATGTGTGGTGCTCCTGGGTGGGAAGGGCACAGGGCTGAGGTGGAGGAGGCCCCAGAGATGCTCCCAGTGACTTCCCTGTCCAGCCAGCAGGACCTGTCCAAGCAGCTGCTCAGAGGTTGTTGCAAGGAGAAGCTGGAACAGCTTCAATTACACATTGGCTAAAAGAAGGAAAACTAAGGAAATCCCCAAAGCTCTGAGGTCAGACCACAGCTCTTGGCTCTGTACCTTGTTCCTGCAGCTCACTGGGTGGTTGATGCCTCGTGGTCCCACCAGTGGAAAGGTGGACACTTGGGACTGGGCTCTGCAATGGCCACTGGTGCCCAAACACTGGGGCAGTGGAGTGCTCGTGCACCTCGAGCCTCTGGGAATCCAGCCAAGCTGGCAAAAGTCCCTCTGAGCTTCGGTGGGGATTCTCCAGGATTCCCATGGCAGGAGGGACTCTTCAGGAAGCTGCTGCTCCTTTGTTGGACAAGGATCTGGATGTTGCAGTGAGACACCAGGCACTGTGGTGGACGGGAGTCAGGGAAGGACAGACCAAAGGCTGTGGAGTGATGAAGCTGCTGCAGCTCTGAGGGAGTTCCCAAGGCAGAATTCAGTGATGAAACTCCTCAGTGACCCAGTTCTTTATCTGCACTTGCCCTCCCCCTGGGGAAGTGGGTTGCCTCTCTAACCGAATTTACCAGCTGGAGTTTCCTGAGTGAGTTGTTGGAGGTCTTTTGAAAGAAACTGTCGTTGCTTTTATCAGTTCATCAGGGCACGAACTGAAGAACAGGAGCTTTAGGAAGAGAAGAAGCATCTGGAAGGTTTGGGGGTCTGCCCAGAGCCGGGGTCCATGTCTGAAGCTGGTGCCTGCCTGGCTCCCTCTCTCTTGGTGCTTCCATCCTCCCTCCTCAGCTGAGCTGTGGCCAGGTGTGTGTTGTCTCTCTGCCTGCAGGAAAATGCAGCTGTGACAGACACAGACCCATCCTTTAGCAAAGTCTCCCTAATTCTGCTGGTTCCCCAACCCCAGGCAAGGCTGCTCAGCAAAGCTCAGAGAAGTCTCCTTGAGAAAGGTGTAAGACCTTCATGCTGTTGTAGCTAAACACAAAAGGCAAAAAAAGGGGAAAAAAAAAAAAAAAAAAAAGGTAAAATGCAAATACAATCCAGGTGTTTTGCTTTACATCCTCTGGTTTTAATCCCTGTGCCCAGGGGTGGAGGGCACCTCCTGTTTCCATTCTCCAGAGGAGCAGCATCTGATCTCTCCTCTGAGCACAAGGTGAGGAGCACAAGGGGTTCGGTGCTTGTGTGGGTGCTCAGCTTCTGCTCAGCCAGAGCCACAGCCTTTCCTGTACACCATGATCTGGGAGCAGGACCACGGCCTCCAGGGAAAGTGAACATTCCAGAGACAAAGCATCTCCCAAACCTCCCACTGTCGTGGTTTCTGAAGCAGTTTGAGGGCAGTGATTTTGGAAAGCAGTTTGGAGTGGTGTTTCTCGGGGGGGCGATCCATGGAGCCCCAGCAGGTGTCCCGGTGCCACCGGGCTGTGGGTGCTGTCACACACTGGAGGGAAGGGATGGGGCATCCAGAGGGGCCTGGACAGGCTGGAGAGATGGGGCTGTGCCGAGTACAGTGTGGTTCACCTGGGTCAGGGCAGTGCCAGGTGTAAATCCAGGCTGGGTGAGAAGGGAGGGAGAGCAGCCCCGGGAGAAGGGCTGGGGAATGTTAATGGATGAAAAGCTCTACATGACCCAGCTCAGAACCACCCCCTGTCTTGGGCAGATGCCACAGACCCCCCTGCAGAGCTCCCTCCAGTCCTGGGAACAACAGCACAAGGACATGGAACTGTTGGAGCCACAGAGATGCTCCAAGGGCTGGAGCCCCTCTGCTCTGAGCCAGGCTGGGAGAGCTGGGGGTGCTTCCCTGGAGAAGTGAAGATCCAAGGGGACTTGAGAGCCCCTTCCAGAGCCTAAAGGGGCTCCAGGAGAGCTGGAGAGGGACTTGGGACAAGGGATGGAGGGACAGGACAAGGGGGAATGGCTTCAAAGTGACAGAGGGCAGGTTTAGAGGGAATATTGGGATGAAATCCTTCCCTGTGAGGGTGGGGAGGCCCTGGCACAGGTTGCCCAGAGAAGCTGTGGCTGCCCCATCCCTGGAAGTGTCCAAGGCCAGGTTGGAGCAACCTGGGCTAGTGGAAGGTGTCCCTGCCCGTGGCAGGGGGTGGCACTGGATGAGCTTTAAGGTCCCTTCGAACCCAAACCACTCCACGATTCTCTGAATTACGTCCCTCATTGTGACACTCAGTTATCAGCTCTGATATCACCAACTGCCTCAGGAGCCTTTGAAGAATCCTCCTCTAAGTGGTGGTGGCTTTGAAACCCTCTGGCTCTGCCCCTTTGCACAAGAGCTGTGGTCACTGTTGGGCAAACTGCTGGTGCTGTGCTGGTGCTGTGCTGGTGATGGTGCTGGTGCTGTGCTGGTGCTGTGCTGGTGCTGTGCCAGTGTTGGCAGCTCAGCAGCTCCTCTGCTCCTGTCTCAAACACAGACAGGGCTGGGGTGGGGGCACGTCCTGAGTCTCTGGTGGCAGCAGGGTCACCTTGAAGGCCAGGGGAGGTTGCTGAGGGTCTTACTCAAGTGAGCTCCATCTGCAAGGATGCAGATCCCACCTCTATTCCAGGCCCCATCCCAGCACTGCACCACCCTCATGGGGGTTTTTCTTGGGAATTTTCCTGGCAGCATCACGTGCCATTGGCTCTTGTCCCATCCCTGTGCACCCTGAGCAGCCCCTGGCTCTGCCTGCAGCCCTTCCACGAGACAGCCAAGGCCAATGGTGAGGCTCCCAGAGCCTTCTCCATCCAGGCTGACCAAACCCAGCTTTCTCCTGCGTCCTGGGCTCCAGGTGGGATTCCCTCCAGTCTGTCAAAACCAGTCTTAGACTGGAGGTCTGCAAACAGGACCAGCCTCACCTGGGACCCACCACGAGATTTGCTGTTTGCTTGGCTGACTTTCTTTGAAACACTGAAGGATCAGGACCAGTGGCAGTGCAAGGCTGCACCTGCAAGGGGCCCAGATTTGGGGATGGGGACGGTGGGGCTGGGAATGGTTGAGTCCAGTTTAGGGGACAGGGGTGTTGACACCCAGTTTGGGGGATAAGGATGGTGGAACCACCTTTGGGATGCAGATGGTGGAGCCCAAATTTGGGGACAGGGATGGTGGAGCCCGGATTTGGGGGTGAATTTGTCCATTTGCACTCGGACAGGGAGAGGGGCTCCGGCCACAGGGAGGGGAGATGCTTTGCCAGGTCACTTCCCAGAGCAGCAGCAGTTCGGGAAAAGGTGAGACCCTGCTCCAGACCAGCAGCTGGAGTTGGTGGCACCTGTTCAAAACATCACCCAGGGGCCTCCTCCTGCTGCAGGGAAGTGCACAAGGAACAGCATCCCTGGATCCCTCCAGACCACGGTGGGCACAGGGCAGGAGGTGGGATGGGGAGTGCTGGGCAGCTCAGGCACCCTTGGGATCTGGGAAGAAAAGGAAGGATGAAGGGCGCCAGAGGGTAAGGAATCCTATCCCTGTGAAACAGCCCCGGGAGGACACAACAACACCCTCAAGCCACAAAGAAGTGCTGCCTTCCATCTCCCTCTGGAAAAATCAGCGGGAAGCTCCTCTGGGGCTGTGTGTGCAGGGGGGTGCACACACAGGGGGTGCCGTGGGTGCTGGGGTGGGTGCTGGGGTGGGTGCTGAGCTGTCTCAGCCTCACACCCCGAGGGGGGAAGTTCCCAAAGGCCGGGTCAGCCCCTGCAGATAACGCCGAGCAGATAAAAGCCTGGCACAGGGAGAGGGGAGGGAGGACGCGGCACATCCCAGAGGTGAGAGCCTGCCCGGGGCACACGAGCTCCTCTGGTCCTGCAGGACTCGTTTCTGTGCCCTGGGGTGGAAGGTCCAGCTGAGGTTTGTGATTCCTGCTTGGCTGGGTGGTGGCTCAGGGCTGGCTTCGCAGGGACGGGGCTTGGCTGGGAGTTTTAGGGTGGGTTCTGGGCTGCTTTTGAGGAACAAGCCGTGAGCAGCAGGTTCAGCCCGCAGCTCTGGGCTCGTTCTGCAGCGCTGGTTGCCTCGGAGCAGCCTTTTGGTGGGGGGTGAGTGGGTCAGCTTGGGGCAAAAACATCCCAAATTGTTTTTGGAGGACCTGCCAGGCTGGTCTTTCTTTCCCCTCCAGCTCTTCCAGCCCCCTGCACTCCCCGTGTTGCTGCCCAGCTCCCTGCCAAGCTGCACTGGCAGCGTGTTCTGCTCCCTTTTTGTTGCCCCCAGTTCCCAAACAGGATGTTCCCATCAGTGCTGGGAATTCCCAGGACAGGAGGCAGCTCCTTTTTCCCTGCCTGGGAGGTCCTTTTAGTGCCACATGGGGACCTCAGGTCCCCATGTGGCACTAAAAGGACCTCCCAGGCAGGCACAATCCCCACCATCCCTTGCACTGGGAAGGGGATGCCCCATGTCATCCTCAGTGTGGGCATGGAAATTCCCATCCACGGGCTCTTGGTCTTCTTCACTTCTCGCATTCCTTTGCAGGGATGAAGGCAGGAACCTCCCTGGGCTTGCTGGTGATGCTCAGCCTCCTCCAGGCACCTGCATCCTCTTCCCACGGTACTGTCCTTCCCTCAGGCTCTGCGGATCAGGGGGATTTCTGAGCAGGGAAGATAAAAGTTCAGCCTGGAAGAGCCTGAACTGCTCTGTTGTGGCAGAAGAGCCCTGAGGAGGTGTCAGAAAGGAGCACAGTTTGTCCCCTCCTGTGGCAGCAATCCTGTTTTTTTTAACAGTTCATGGCCTATTTGGTTTCTTAAATCAGGTTAAAGGAGGTCAGGACCTCCCTCCCTGACCCCTGAGGTTCCAGGGCCTGTGGAATTTGGGGACTGGGCAGTCACTCCTCTCCTCCAGCCCTGGATCCCTGCTCTAAAACATCCAGAGAACCCCACCTGTTAATTTACAGTGTCAAGGCACATGCCTGGGCCTTTCATTTGTCTCAGATGGTGGCTCAGGCAATCAGTTTTCTCATCAGCATCACCCAAGAGATAAACTCTGGGTTGTTCAGGGGAAGATATTTTAAAAATTCTGGGGAGTTTTGGGAGATATTTACCCCCTCTCTGTGTGATTTTCTGATATTTTCTTTCTCCCTGGAAGCCATAGGAAAGTGCTGTCCCTCAGAGAAGCCCACCAGGGCCTGTCCCCTCCTGTTCTGTGCCCCACAGCCAAGCAGATGATGGGGATGAAACTCATTTTTGGGAGCCCACCCCCAGGCAGGAAGGGGAGCAGTGAGGGTGGCAGGAGGTTGCAAGGAGGGACTGGAGAAAGCCATGGGGAAATTGGGTTGTTTATAGAATCACAGAATCGTGGAGTGGTTTGGGTTGGGAAGGATGTTAAAGCTCATCTCATCCCACCACGGGCAGGGACACCTTCCACCAGCCCAGATTGTTCCAAACCCCATCCAACCTGGCCTGGGACACTCCCAGGGGTGGGAAACAGCAGGAGGGATGGTGCCTGCATCTCTCACCGCGGTTGTTTGAAACCTCCACTGGTGGAGACACCTCTTCATGCCCAGGAGCAGCTGTCAGACCCCCCTGAGAAATACATTTCCATCCAGAGCTCTGGGGAGTGAGCAGCACCTGCCTCCAGCCCTGCTGTGTCATCCCTGGGTGCTGGAGACATGAGCACGGGGTCCCTGACAGCACCCTCAGCTCTGCCCTTCCCTGTCCCCCCCTAGATGTGCTGGAGGAGCTGTCAGACATGTCCCTCCTGAGTAGCGTGGCCGAGGCCAAGCACCTGGTGGACGCCGCCTACAAGCGCACGCGGGACCGGTGAGATTTGGGGCTGTGACCCCTATGTGACCCCTGTGTGACCCCTGTGTGACCCCTGTGTGACCCCTGCACTGCTCCTCCACCCGCTCCTCCTCCTCCCTGAGCACTGTGAGGAGCTCTGGAGCACACAGGGCTGTGACCCAGGGTTTGCCTGCCCAGCCTGGTGTCTCCAAGGCGGTCGGGGGCACCAAGAGCTGCCCCCTCCTCCCTGCAGGCTGTTCCTGCCAGCTGGGTGTGCACAGAATCACACAATGGTTTGGGTTGAAGGGACTTTGAGATCTTGTTCCAACCCCCTGCCGTGGGCAGGGACGCTTTCCACTAGCCCAGGTTGTTCCAACCTGGCCTTGGACACTCCCAGGGATCCAGGGGCAGCCACAGCTTCTCTGCCCAACCCGTGCCAGGGCCTGCCCACCCTCCCAGCACCACCTGACACTGTGCTGGGCTCTGTTCCACTCCTCAGACGAGCTCTGAGGTGGTGCCAGGTGTTGATTTCAAGTGGTTCCCTCCAAGGACACAGCAAAAGGCTGCAGTGAGGGCACTTTGTGGGACTCCCAAATGTGGATTGGGAGTGTCCAGCTTCCCACCAGCCTGTGGCTGTCCTCCTCCTGCAGCCACACTCTGAAACCCATTGCTGGCTCGAGGCCCCCTCCAGCTGACAGGAGGTTCCAGCAGCTTTGAGACAGGGTGACCTGGAGACATTGGGGACCTTGGGGTGGAGGCACCTGCAGGTATTGATTGGTCTGGCTGACAGCTCAGGGAGGTTTGGGTGCCTCAAGGATGTAAAGACCTAAAATTTGCCTTCTGGCAGGTGGAGCTGGGCAGTTTCAGAGATTCCCCTCCTGCAGCTCCCTCTGCTCCTCTGTCAGGGGTGGTGGGAGCAGCCCTGGCCTCTCTCCCAGTGGCTTTGCCTTTGCAGTTCAGAGCAGGGACACACCAGGAGAGCTCAGATGTGGAACCTGCAGCACTCCCAGCCTTGCCCTGGGTCAGGTTCTGTTTTCTTCTCCCTTGCAGCATCAAGCAGCACCTGCAGAACGACGCCTTGACCCCAGCAGAGCTCCTGAGATACTTCAAGCAGCCCGTGGAGGGGACCCGGGCGGCTGTGAGGGCAGCAGATTATGTGCAGACCACCCTGAGCCTCCTCAAGGAGAAGCTGAGATGGGCTGTGAGGGGGGACTTCAACGTCACAGGTGGGGATCTCCCTGTGCTGGGAGGGAGGCAGAGGAGGAAGACACAGGGCTTGGTCACTGGGGCTTTGTGGGGCCTGGGAGGAGGGAAGGAAAGCAGGCTGTGCTTTCAAACCTCTCCCATGTGGCTGCAGAGAGGCAAAGCTGAGTTATTTTTCTCTGCTCTCATTCTGTTTTTTAAAAAAATATACATATATTTGGAGGTTTATCAGTTAATGAAAGTGTTTGGGGCACGTCCCTGGTTCTTTCTGCAATACAAAGTTTCATGGACCAGTGGGTCAAAGCTTGAAGGGCTTTGGCAGATATTTTTCTTTTGCTTGAGCTGGGAATGAGCAAACCCAGAGATGTGACTCAAACTAGATCAACCCCAAGAAAGGCAGTTTTTCTGCCAGACTTCAGCCAGCACCAAAGTCACTGCCAGACTGTGCTGCACCGGGGACAGGACACTGGAGAAGGTCCAAGTGGAGAATGGGGAGATGTGAGAGGACATTTCAGCCGTGTCTGAAGGAGCAGTGTCCTCCCTGAGGTGGAGTTGTGGTCCCCTGGCCAGGCCAGGCTGCTGAGAGCACGAGGCAGATTAGGGGCAGGAAGAGAAACAGCTCAGGGAGGCACAGGGAGAGCTCCTGCCGTGTAGGATGAACTCCTGGGGTCATGGAGCGGGTTGGGAGGGATCTTAAAGCTCATCTGGTTCCACCCCCCGCCATGGACACCTCCCACCAAACCCTGTCCAACCTGGCCTTGGGCGCTTCCCCAGCACTCCAGTAAAGCACTGGCAGGCCAGGACACACATCTTGGGGTGTCCCAGCTTTGTTCCAGGATGGGGTGAGCTGGAAGAGGATGGCAGGGCTGGTGGTGCTCAGTTCCACCCTCTCCATCCAGGAATGATGCTCCACAGACCTGCCAGGCCAGTTGGCTGCCACCTCTCAGCTGCGAGCCCAGAGGCTCCTGAAACCATTCTGTGACCCAAACTGTTGGTGGCAGCAGTGACCAAGAAACCTGTGAGGGACTCAGGACTTGTGTGAGCAGCAATAGCAGAGAAGGAGCCCCTCTGCTCTGGAGCCAGGCTGGGAGAGCTGGGGATGCTCCCCTGGAGATGAGAAGGCTCCAGGGAGACCCCAGAGCCCCTTCCAGGGCCTAAATGGGGCTTATGAATGAGGAAGAGAGACTTTTTACACTGTCAGAAAGTTATAAGACAAGGGGGAATTAAATTTTAAACTAAAAGAGGAGAGATTTAGATGACATGTCGGGAAGAAATTGTTCCCTGGGAGGGTGGGCAGGCCCTGGCACAGGTTGCCCAGAGAAGCTGGGGCTGCCCCATCCCTGGAAGTGTCCAAGGCCAGGTTGGAGCTGTTTGCATTTCATGGTGGAGAGAAAAAAGGAGAGAAGAGGAAGGACAAAGCAATGCTAGAAAATGATTCTGCTCCTGCCCAGGTCTCACGTGTAATTATAAATGAGATTTGACCACAGCTTTGCTGGGTTTGGTGCTTTCCAAGCCAGAAAAAGCAGCTTTGTTGCTCCTCAGCACCTCTTTGAGCAGGAAGGTCTTAAACAACAGCACGTTGTGGTCGTGCAGATGATGCTGTGAAAAGAAACCATTCCAAGGGTACAAGGAAGAAAACCTTTCCCTAAGCCTGGGAGGCACCTCAAACCCAGCACAGCCAGAGCGTTCCTGCGGGCTTGTTTCTGCTTGTTCCCTGGCAGATTTGCTGACTCCAGCTCAGCTGGACATGATTTTCAAGGCCAGTGGATGTGACCAGCAGGATAAGAAAATAAATTGTCGTTCTTCCCGCTACCGAACGATCACCGGCCAGTGCAACAACAGGTGAGGGGCTGAGCTGGGGGGCTGGGGGACAGCAGGACAAGAGGAAATGGCCCCAGGCTGAGCCAGGAGAGGTTCAGGTTGAACATCAGGAGGAATTTCTTCATGGAAAGAGTTGTCAGACATTGGAAGGGGCTGCCCAGGTGGTGGAGTGGTGGAGTCACCATCCAGCGATTACCACTCAGTGATGGCCTTCAAAAGAACCACACAGCACAGGAAAACTCCCAATCCAAATCCCCCCCATACCAGGTCTCTGGTAATGCCATTCTTGAACAGGTGGAAGCCTCTGCCCCTTTTCCCTGGCATTAAACCTCCAACTTTGGTTTCCACCCACGGTCTGAAGTCAAGGGTCCTTCTTCAGGCTGGATGGCATAAGGAATCACCAACAAACTGAGTTCTTCTTGCCTGGGAGAAACTGAGGCTTGGGTGGATTATTGAAGGTCCTTTCGTACCTAAACAGTTCTATGATGATTGCTGTCATCATTATTAATCCCGAGGTTTATTGGTGCAGCAGCTCCCGGGCCGTTGTTGTCCGGTCCCATTCCAAGATCCACATCTCTCCACACCCACGAGCTCTTGGCTCTGTCATGATCCTGCTGACAATAACTGCTTGCTCTTCTTCCATCCCCTCTGACAGGAGGCGCCCCTACCTCGGAGCCTCCAACAGAGCCCTGGCCAGGTGGCTGCCAGCACAATACGAGGACGGCGTGTCCATCCCCCGTGGGTGGACAGAGGGAAAGTGCTTCTCTGGATTCCCTCTTCCCCTGGTAATGTTGGTAACAGTCACCTGAGAGTGCACAGTCAGGGCCTGGGGGCTGTCAGTTCTTGGGCAGGCCACAGGCAGCAAAGTGATCATCAGCCAGCTGGAGTGGGGCATCAGAAGGAGGAACTTGGATTCACCAGCTGCAGGGTGATCCTATGAGAACATCCAGTGGGATCCATCAGAAGGGCTTTCCAGCCTTCAGGAAAAGCAAAGGAAAACCAATCTGATTACTGCAGAAGCACGGAATGAAGAAAGAATCAGGCAATGTGTTCTTTTAAACAGAGTGCACTTAAGCCAAATTATTTTATTTACCTTTTTGATTCGGTTGGTGGCAGCAGGTTGACTCCCGACAAGCAACATGCCAGAGGACAAAGGGAGCAAGGGAGTCCTCAGAATTAACAATATCAGGCCAGGAATTCTGCGTGGGGATCCCTGGGTGGGAGATCCGGGGGGTGTGTGTGTGGCTCTGGAGACTCCTGGGTGGGAGCAGGGACACTGTGATGTGGTTTTTGGTCACCTGGATTTGAGGCAACAGGGGCATTAATGAGTAGCTTGGTGACTTTCTGGGTTGTGCCTCGTGCTCATCTGCCCCTTGTACTTCCTAATCCTCCTCCACAGCACAGTGCCCACTTTTTGTGTAGCAATAAATGAAGGAAGAACTGGTGTGGGAATTGTCATGGGTGTGGAAAAGATAAGAAGGGAAGGCAGCCTTGGAATAACCTAAGAAATTCCCAGTGACTATTTTTTCCACACTTCTATTTAAAAAATATCTTTTTAAAATTCGCTTTGCCTCCCTTTGCCAGGCTTGCTTAGATGCTTCCTTAAGTCCATCAAGGGATAGTCCTGGCCTAGGGGCTCAGAACCCTGCCTAGAGCCAGAGCAGAGCAACGCTCAGGGAAGGGACACTCGGTGACACCTTCCAGCGCCGACAGATTTGTTTGTTTTTGTTTTTGTTTTTTTTTTTTGTCTGTGAAGCACAAAAATGCCTTGTGGATTCTTGCTGATGACCCCAGTACCTGGTGCACTCCTTTGTCCAGGTTGTTTCCCCACACACGTGTCCTGCCTCCCTCCCTGCAGGTCCGACAGGTGTCCAATGAGATCGTTCGCTTCCCGCCGGAGCGGCTGCGGCTGGACCAGCACAGGTCCCTCATGTTCATGCAGTGGGGGCAGTTCATTGACCACGACCTGGATTTCAGTCCAGAAACCCCAGCCAGGGTCAGCTTTCGTGGTGACATAGACTGTGACACCAGCTGTGCCAAGAAGCCTCCTTGCTTCCCCATCCAGGTACAGCCAGTCTCCTTCCTCCAGGGGACGCAGGGAGAGGGCATCTGCCTTCCAAGCAGGAGATGGTGGTGGCTCTCCCAGCCCTTGGCCACAGGGGAACATCCTCACAGAGCTGGCCAAGGGAGTCAGAGCATCCCTTGTTCTGAGCCCTGGGTGCTGTCCCTGGGTGTCTCAGGGCTCTTGGGCTGAGGGCTGAGGGTTGGACTCCACGATCCTTGTGGGTCCCTCCCAACCCAGCATATTCTGTGATTCAATCCGATATATATAAGTTACGGGAAAAACTTTAGGAATCCATAGGACTTTATGGAATTCCAGGTGTCTCCGGGCTGTTTGGGATTTGTACCCCTAAAGCAGCATCTCTGCTGTCCATCTGACCCTCCACATCAGGTTTCATGGCTGATCTCCACCCCACCTGTGAGACGGCTCTGCCGCAGCTGTGCCTCACCGCGCAGCTCCTGCTGACGGATTCTCCCCTTCCCTTCCCTCAGATCCCACCCAACGACCCCCGAATCACCAACAGGAGGGACTGCCTGCCCTTCTCCCGCTCTGCCCCTGCCTGCACCCCCGGCAGTGGGGTCCGGGAGCAGATCAACGCGCTCACCTCGTTCCTGGACGGCAGTGTGGTGTACGGCAGCGAGGTGGCCGTGGCCAACCGGCTGCGGGACCGGAGCCGCGGGCTGGGGCTGCTGGCTGTCAACCAGAACTTCACCGACAGGGGCAGGGCCTACATGCCCTTTGGGCCCATGAGAAAGGAGCCCTGCCTCAAGGCCAGTGGGGCAGCTCGGATCCCTTGCTTTTTTGCAGGTAAGTTGGGTGTTTTCACACCTGGCCTGAAAACCAGAGCGAACAATTCCACCAGCTCCGGGTGATTCTCTAGGTTTTCCTTATTTATTCTTCCCTTCCTCTTTCCCTTCCTCTTCCCCTTCCTCTTCCTCTTTCCCTTCCTCTTTCCCTTCCAAGCTCCTCTGTGCAGCATCCCCAAGGTCTTCGGGTACCATCAGGACCTGGTGATGGAACCGATGGGATATCTCTGCTTGATGCCATCCTGCAGCTCCCTCCTCTGAAGTTTCTGGTGTTTCGTGCTCCCTCCACCCTCTCACACCTCTGTGTCTGCCCCATCTCTTGTTCCGTGTCTTCACCTGCTCCCCCAGTTCCATACAGGTCCCTCCTCGTTGAGGACCACGCAGAACCTGTGGCCAAAGACAGATGTCCAGTGAGGAGCAGAGCAGGAATATCAAATACTTTCCAGGGTGGGAATATCAGGTACTTTCCAGCCCCCTGGACTGCAGCAGCAGCTCCTGTCCCACAGCTGGAACATTCCCATCAGTGCATTCACGGCCAGCAGTTCCAGCTGGTTCGGAAGCGCTTTTGAAAATTCAGTGTCTTATTTGTGACTTTTCCGGCCCCTGAGAACTGGGAGGATCTCACATGTGCAGTCGCCCACCAGGGCTCAGCGTTGCCTCCTGGAGCTCTGTTGGAAGCCCTGGCTGGGTGAATTCTGCTCATGGAAACCTCACAGAGCTGCTTTTGTTTGTCCTTCTGCAGCCCCTCACAGGGAGCCTTTGACAGTGGATGAAAAGGTCTCTGTGCTGAGAGCAGGAGCAAATCCCTCTATTTACTATGGGACAAGGGCACTAAATACGACATATTTACTTTTCTCTGAGTGTTTCTTTATCCTCCCATCACCTGCTTGCTCTTGGGTTTCCTGCCCCAGATGTTTGAAGAAGGATTTGATGTTTCATTGTGATGCTGTTTGTAATTTATGCCTTCAAGTTGTGACTCATTTTGCTTTCACTTTTCCTCCCCGGGGAGCTTGTCTGGGACTGTCATCTTGCTTTGGCCGCAGTTTCGGCTGGTTTGAAGGAGATCTTCTGACTTTCAGAGCCCTCCTGACTTCCCTGTGCCCATTTCTCTTGACTGTGAGACCAAATGTCTCTCTGAGAGCCTGAATAACAACTACTTGTATTTAACTCCTTAAGTAAATGCTCCCAGCCCTCAATTGAAACAAACCTTCCCCATCTCTGCCAGGCTGAGCCCAGCTATCTTGTCTTTTGCTGCCTCAGCAGAAATTTGGCTTTTCCCTGGTTCTGCCCAATCCTGGGGGTTCAGACCTTGCTTTCCTTCTCCTCCTCCTCTCTGTTTCTCCCCCGTTTTCTCCACAACGCAGGTCTCAACGCATCTAAAACTCACTCTGTGCATGATTCCCAGTGGGATATTCCCATTCCAGTGGGAAGCAGCCAGTCACAGGGCAGTGCCACTCAGCTGTGACCCTCCCTAGGTGACACCAGGGCCAGCGAGATGCTGGAGCTGGCCTGCATGCACACGCTCTTCGTGCGGGAGCACAACCGCCTGGCCGGGCAGCTGAAGAGGCTCAATCCCCACTGGAATGACGAGACGCTCTACCAGGAGGCACGAAAGATCCTAGGAGCCATGATCCAGGTACCATCTCCCACGGCCTGGCTCTGCCTGCAGTCTCTCAGCATTAACGTGGGAGGCTCTGGTGGGGTGGGGTGGCCAAAGGGTGTGGGGTTTTGGGGTGCAAAGGACCGGATTCTTTCCACCAGCCCCGCTCAACTAAAGCAAAACCACACAGAGATCCCTGAAGCAACAAGCACAGAGGGGTCTGGATCCACCAAGATCCAAATCTTGGATGTCCCTTTGCTGTTAAATTCAAAAATTGCTCAGTGGTTTTTTAACTGCACTTGCTTTGTTTGAGAAAGAGGCAGGAAAGCCAGAGGAAAAGTTTTTTTAACCGGTGTTTGGTACCTGATAAAAATGGTACTGGAAATTCGGATTAAAATTCTTCTGGGTTGGGAGCCTTCTGCTCCCAGTGGATCCCTGCAAGTGGCAGGGGGCTGGAATGAGATGATCCTTCAGGTCCCCTCCAACTCAAACCATTTTGGGATTCTATGAAGAAGCCCCATGTGCTGGGAGTTGCAACCTTTCAGGGTGTTCCTCTGTCCTCTGCTGCACCCCAGACTTCACCCTGAATGAGATCTGAGGGTCACAAAAATATTTCTGTGCTTGGGAAGGACCTCCCCAGGTCTTTTATCCAGCCTCCAGTTTGGAGCAGGACCAGCTTCAAAGCCAGATGAGGTTTCACAGCCAACACAAAAGGTTGATGAGAAGGAGACATGGGGTTCCCAAAGGCAGTGTTTTTAGTCAGATGTAGTTGGAAACTTGTCTTCTGAGCTGGCTTAACAAGCAACAAAAAGCAGGAATATCACAGTGTTTAAGGGTTTCATTTTAATTATTACAGTATTTTTAATAATCATGTTGGGTAAGTCAATGTGGAAGAGACTCAAAAGGTTGTCCTGAAAGCATCATCATCTCACTCACCATGTTGACATCAACAGTTTCACCTTCCTGCAGTTTTCAGGAAATTAATCCATTTTCTCCTCCTGACACAGATTTTTTTTTTTCTTTTTTTAATTGTATTGTACCACCTCCTCCACATCCCAGAGAGACCTGAGGGCAGGGTTGGAATCCTTTTGGAGGCCTCTTGGACGCCTCTCAGAGCTGCCCGTGGGTGGTTTTATCCCTTGTGCCAAAGCTGCCAACATTATCTTTGCCATCTGAGGGTGCAGTTCTGCCTGGCTGATGGGAGACAATATTTGGGAGGATTTGGCATTCTCTGAATCAATTAGGTTGGAAAAGACCTCTGAGATCACTGAGTCCAACCTGTTATTATCTTGCTGTGACCTATCAAAGCCTTGAGGAACAGAGACAGGGGACACAGAAGTGCTGAGTGTCGAGGGGCAGAGCGGGTGTGTGGCTCGGGCACGAGCAGTGTCTGTGCTCCCTGGTGGCCCTGGGGTGTCCACGCTGTGTTTTCACTCAGCTCCCTGCGTGTTCATGCAAAGCCCATCAGTGTTAGAGGGTGTGGAGATCCCTCCATGCCTGGCCAGACAAAGCAGGTGCCCTGCAGTGCCTGTGTCCGTGTCTGGAGCTGCACAAGGACAGCTGCAGAAGAGGTCCTGTGGAGAAACAAAAACGTCCCTCCACAGTGGCAGGGAGGATCCCCACTGGGCTGCCAGAGCAGCTGGGTGAAGGTGTGGTGAGGTGAAAGGCAGGTTGGCCCTGGGGAGGTCCATCAATCCCATCAGAGCAGCCCCACGTGCCACCTCCTGTTGTTTGAGAACACGAACAACAGCTTTGCTTTCTGCAGAACCCGGCGGCCAAGGCACTGGTGGTTTATCCCTCTCCTTGTTCCCCCCTAGATCATAACCTACAGGGACTACCTGCCTCTCCTGCTGGGATGCACGTTCCGGAGTCTGATTCCTCCTTACCGGGGCTACAACGAGTGTGTGGATCCTCGGATATCCAACGTCTTCACCTTGGCCTTTCGCTTCGCCCACGCTTCAATCCCCCCCACTGTGGGTCGCCTAAATGAGAGTTACAAGCCCATAACACCCGAAATTCGACTTGGAACCTCCTTCTTTGCCATGTGGAGGATCATTCAGGAAGGTAAAGCCTTTCTTGCAGTGAGTTTATCCCACTCAGCCACTTCTCCCCTCTCTGGATGAGCTCCTGCTTCAGCCAAATTTAAAAGCACTTTGCAATAAATGTGTTAAACAACCTTCTCAACCAGACAGAGTTTTCCCAACAGAGCTGTTCCCTGCAGCCAAGTGCAGCCCATCATGTTACGGAGCTCATGGTTTGATCCCTTAATTGCCGTGGCCTCCAGGAACATCATTCGAAGCGCTTTCTAATTCTTTGAGGGCAGGAAAATTGATTCCCACGTAGCAGGAGTTTGTAATTAAACATAAGCCGTGCTCAGCCCTCTCGAGCCTGTTACACCCCCGCCGGTCTCCCTGCTCTGCTCACACGTCCCTGTGTCACCATTCCAGGTGGGATTGATCCCTACCTGCGGAACCTGATGGCCAGCCAGGCCAAGCTGATGACGCAGCGGCAGATGGTGGTGGACGAGCTCCGGGACCGGCTGTTCGAGCGAGTGGAGAGGATTGGCTTCGATCTGGCCGCGCTCAACATGCAGCGGAGCAGAGACCACGGCCTTCCAGGTGAGCTGGCCCTGGGAGCAGAGCTGCCAAAGAGGGCGGAGATCAGGCACTTCTGCTTGGGCACTGAGAGGCATCTCCAGCCCATGGCTGACTGAAATTACCTCGGAGTTGGACTGATCCTTGTGGGTGCCTTCCAGCTCGGGACAGTCTGTGATTCCCTGATGCTCATTCCCAAACTTTTCCCTTGTTTTTGGATGGGTAAGTGGGTGGAGGTTAAGCAATGCAGACAGAGCCTGGACGAAGCTGGAGGAGACGTGAGGCAGAACGGGGGGCATTGCACAGACCAAAGTTTGCTGTTCAGTGACTGACTCGTATTTTGCAAATAGAAAAGTTGGTAAAGTATTTCAGCACCAAGTTTTCAGGAGTGGAAGCAGGGCCAGAAGTCCCCCCGTGGCTTCTCTCCAAGCATCTGTAGCGGCCCAGCCGAGCCACACATGACTGGAAGAGCAGATTCCAATCTGTAAGGACAGTCTCATCGTAACTTCTCTACGAAGACCGTGTCCCAGAACAAAAGGCAAGTCAGAACCACTCTCAGGGCCCTGCGAGGGGCAGAACCAGCGTAATGGCATTGCAAGATGCTCTTGAGAAACAGATTGCTGGTGGGACTGCAGAGCTGGCTCCTGGTGGGTCGTTGCCCAACACTGTCATTAATCTGATGTAAGTGCCTGGAGCTGCTGTGTCAGTAAATCCTGCGGGAAGCAACATGGATCACTGTGAACCTGTGGGGAAAAGCGAGCTGGATCCACAGATTTGAAGGCCAGTCAGAGGCTTTACAGCACGCCCAGGGGCATGGCCAGGTCACAGGGTTGCTCTGCCTTGGCTCAAACAGAAGGCTGTCATTTTTCCATGCTTTCTGTAGGAACATCGTTGTGCAGAACCTCGTCTGAACCACAAATCCTGAGTTTCTAGCTCTGACTCCAGACCTGCCATAGTGGAAGTTACATGTATTTCTGAATTAGTGAGTTTCTGAATTGGTGAATGTGTGGTTGGATTGGGGTCTCAGCCACCCTGAGTTCCACTGTGCTCCTGCAATTAATCAACCACAAAGGTGGTGACGGCACAGCAAGGTCGAAACAACCTTCCTAATTAATTTTTGGATGAAGCAAACTCTCAGTCTCCTGGAATTGTTTGCTAGTGGTGTCATCCAGGCACCATATGCTGTGTCTTTTTCTCCAAATTCTCCTCGGATTTTGGACATAAGACAGTAGGTTTAGATGGGATATCAAGAAGGAATTCTTGGTTGTGAGGGTGGGGAGGCCCTGGCACAGGTTGCCCAGAGAAGCTGTGGCTGCCCCTGGATCCCTGGAAGTGTCCAAGGCCAGCTTGGAGCAACCTGGGCTGGTGGAAGGTGTCCCTGCCCATGGCAGGGGTGGAACAAGATGGGCTTTAATGTCACTTCCAGCCCAAACCATTCCATGCTCACAGCAGAGGGATTTTGTCCACCAAGAAACAGAATCATGCACCAGTTGTGACCCAGTGCATTTTTGGCTGTTTGTAGAACAGAAAAAATTAATCCAGCTGGCAAAGCCTGATGGCTGAAGTAACTTGGGCTGCGTGGGGTGGGGTGGCTTGTCCCTGTGACTATACAGGGACCAGCTGTGGGGCAGCACTTGGCCACTGTCCTGTTGTCCAGAAAGAGGGACCATCAACATCTTGTCCAGGTTCACTTTTAATGAAGGCAACACCAGTTGCATCCCTGCTGAGTGGAACAGAACGTGACTGGAAGGTGGTGGAACATCTCCCACCAGCAGAGATCCCCTGAAAAGACATGGCCCTCCCAAATCAGCTTTGAAAGAACAGACAGGAGGGACTGGCTCTGGAGGAGTGGGAAGTCAGCATTAACACAAATGTAAAAAAAATATATTTGAAACATTTTGGGGCCCTAGCTGTGTCCCAGCTTTGGGAAAGAGAGGGTAAGATCTTCCCAGGAGGTGGTAACATTACTGATCTGTCTCTGATGCCCAACCACTTGCAGGTTACAACTCCTGGAGAAGATTCTGTGGGCTCTCACAGCCTTCTGGAGTGAAGTCACTCGGTAAAGTGTTGAGGAATCGGGATCTGGCCAGGAAGTTCCTACAGCTCTATGGCACCCCCAAGAACATCGACATCTGGATTGGGGCCCTTGCAGAGCCCTTTGTGAAGGGAGGCAGAGTTGGGCCTCTCATGGCTTGTCTCATTGGCACCCAGTTCAGGAACATCCGTGATGGGGACAGGTAAGAGGGGAGCTGATGATCCCCAAAGGACAGAGAGGCTGGAGTTCATGGACATTTCTTTAGGCAGATTTGGAAACTTCCAGCTGTTTACTGCTCTTCCTTTCACTACTACTCCTAAAGTTTCTTTCCCTTTCTGGTGATGTTGTTATTCCCTGTCTAATGCTTGAGATCCTGGGCTAAAATCCCTTCCCAGCCGAGTGGTTTCATTCTCAGCCTGTTCACTACCAGTCATTACTTGTGAAAACTGGGTAGTCCTTCTCCATGTGTGAATGTTTGGGCTCTTTTCCTCCCTCACATCAGGTGTCACTGTGTGTTCAACCAGCAGCTCCCTCCTGCAGGAAGGGGAACAGACAAAATCCTTAGCAAGAAAAACAGGTGCAGCTCCAAAGGTGGGAAAACCAGTGTCTGGATGGATTGACTTCATCCAGTTAGAGCAAGATCTGTCAGGTCCAAACATATTGTGCTGGAAGCAACTGCTCAGAACTGTCAGGTTCCTGCTTTGGGGAGCTTTGAAAATCTGCCTGCAGGCCAAGGGATGGTGCTGAAGGACTGACACACTTCCAGGCTTTTTAGGGAGTGAAAAAGGTTAAATATTCTCTCTTGGTCAGGTCCCAGCTCAGCCCAAGCTGCTCCCCCAGCAGCATCCCTGTCCCCTCCCTGCTGTGCCTGCAGAAGTCAAACATCAGTTCACCTCCCAAATTCTGAGCTTGCAATACACATTTTTGTCCATCTCAGTGCCTTCTGTACTTCTCAGAGGTCTTGGAGGTGATTTCTCACTGTTTCTTCTCTCCAGTTCTGAGCTGGAATCCTGGGATCTGATGTGTAGCAGGGTTTGGTCTTTGCCTGCCCCAAGACGTAGGTTGGGGTTTCCTTGTCAGCCAAAATCCCTTCAGCAGTGTTGAGGTTTGAGCATCCCTGAATTCCCCTTCCTCCTTGGGATTGCTCAGGGGCATCAGCTGCAGCAGTGCCCCCTCTTTAGCTGCATTTCTGAACCAAGATCCCTGTACCTGCCAGCAATATTGCCTGAAAATGGCATCACAACCCCTGTTTCTGGGAAACAGTTCTGCCTAGAAAGACTTACGACGAGCTCAAACCCCAGTACTGGGAGCTTAGAGGCAAACAGTCCATTGCACATCTAGAAATCCTCTTCTTATGGCAGGAAAAAAAAATGCTTTCTTTTAAAAAAAAATTGGGTAATTACAGGGCTGGTTCCAGCACAGCAATCATGTGACTGTAACCACAGTCTGTGCAGCCTTTCCTATTTGAAAGAGGAGCCTGTGCCTCATCTGAGGGAACACAGGGCAATTAATTCAATTGCAGTTTTATTATAAGTCCATGGGCAAAAAAAAAAAAAAAAAAAAAAAAAAAAAAAAGGCAAATTAAATTATTCAGCTGGTGAGTCAGGGCTCTTGATTTAAATAACAGAAATTTGAATTTGTTCTTGGCAACAGAACTGTGTTAGTGGTGTTCATGTGGGAGTCCTGAATGTGAGGAAGCCAGAAGGCTAAAATCTGTTGTGTGTTCTTCTTTCTCCTGCAGGTTTTGGTGGGAGAACCCCGGGGTTTTCACTCCCTCGCAACGCTGTGCACTGACCAAAATCTCCCTGTCACGAATCATTTGCGACAACACCGGCATCACCAAAGTTTCAAGGCACATCTTCAGGGCTAACAGGTACCCCGAGCACTTTGTGAGCTGCAGTCGGATCCCAAAGCTGGACCTCAGACCGTGGAAGTCACGGAGCACCCAGGAGCAAGGTGAGAGCCTCACAGAGCTCCTGCCTGCAGGAACAGGACAGGAGCAGAGGCAGGGGCCGAAAACAGAGCTGCCAAACGTGGCTCTGTGCGCCAGGTACACCCCTAGGACATGTTTGGACTCTCCATTTCATCAGGTGCACTGCGAGTGGCTCCTCCAAAGTGCAGATTTTCCAGCCCTGGTATTGCAAGGCCGAGCCAAGTGCCCTGTCCTGGGATTCCTTCTTAGGAGGAAAGGCTGAGGGAGCTGGGGCTGTTGAGCCTCCAGAGCACCCCCTGAGAGGGGCCCTCCCCAGGGTGTGTCAGGGGCTGCAGGGAGGGGGCAGAGGATGGACCAGGCTCTGCTCGGGGGGGCCCAGCAATGGCACAAGAGGAACGGGCAGGAACTGATGCCCAGGAAGCTCCAGCTGGACAGGAGGAAGAAC